GTGGTTATGATATCTATAGACAGGATCGGGATGACTCATATGGTGGTATAGCTATTGTGATACATAAATCTATAAAAACTCAGGTAAGCATGTTCAACTTAAGTAATCGGAGTATTCAGGTACGGCATGTAAAAATATTTAATTGTGATTTTTTGGAGAATATTGTAGCAGTATATTGTCCTCCTAATATTTAAACTTCAGTTGAAGACTGGATAGCATTATTTTCTAAATGGTCAAATAAAACACTCATAGGGGGGGATTTCAACGGGCACCATACAAATTGGTCAAACAAAAATAATCACAGAGGCATTCAAATCCATGACGCAGCTAATGATTGGAATTATGTTTCCCTCAATACTGGCGACCCCTCTAGAATTAAGTTGGTATTAAATCAATGGCAAAAATCCTCCCCAGACATCACTTTTGCGTCGTCAGATATTGCAATTCGATTTAATTGGAAAATTTTAAATGAAAATTTAGGTAGTGACCACTTGATAATACTTATTGACACAGAGATATCATGTAATAACTTAAGTAACACCAAACGAAATTTAAAAAAAGGGAATTGGTGTAAATTTACTCAAATAATTTCAAATCAAATAAATAATATTACTTTAACAAATGACACTCAAGAAATGTATGACGTGATAATAGATTTAATTAACAGTGCAGCTGATAAATCCATTCCAAACATTAAGATCTGTGAAAATCCAGCTAGTAAATTTATTCCAAGATCGTACTGGTCCCCAGAGTTATCTAAGGCAGTTTCGGAACGTAGATTAGCGTTAACTCTGGTAAGGAAGAACCCCACTCCCACAAACTTTATTAATTTTAAACAAAAAGTTGCGAAAGCTCAGAGACTTATTCGTAAAGCTAGGGCGGAATCCTTTCGGCAGTTTTGTGATAGCATTAGTGAATTGGTATCAGGTAGTGAATTGTGGAGCAAGATGCGATGGCTCAAGGGACATCGTAGTAGCCGAACATGCCTAGATGCAGAGCGGGCTCGTGAATTTTTAACTCAATTGACGCCAGATTACGCTCTACCACTACCTCCTGTGTTCAGTTCTAACAATGCACAGCTAGAGGCCACAATTTCAGAACAAGAGCTCACTAATACCCTTAAGATGAAGGATACCGCCCCAGGTGAAGACGATATTTCTTACTCAATGATCTTTAACTTTCCGGGCAAACAGTTGATCGTTGATCTATTTAATAATTGCCTGTCTAAAGGGGAGATACCAAGTCAATGGAGGGACGTAAAGGTAATACCTGTACCGAAACCTGGACGAGATTTAAGCGAGTTATCATCTTTTAGACCTATTTCACTTATATCATGTCTGTGCAAAGCATTACATAACATAGTTTACAAAGCGTCTTGAATGGTACTTCGAAAGTAATAATCTGTTTTCCAAAAACACAATAGGTTTCAGAAGATCCCAATCTAGCCTAGACAATCTCGTACGACTAGTATTACATATACAATCGGGGTTCACAATAGGACACAATACATTAGGATGTTTCGTTGATATAGACAACGCCTACAATAATGTTAATATCTCTCAAGTTGTTTCTAAACTGGATGGAATGGGGGTAGGTTCATCTATATGTAGATATTTATGGGAATATTTGAAGGAGAGACATTTACATATATCACAGGCAGGTAGTAGTGTTCCGATCACGAGATGGACATGCAAGGGTTTGGCCCAGGGAGACCCTATGTCCCCGATTTTATTTAATATAGTTACTAGCGACATCTGTAAAGAGATTGTAAAAGTTTATGTATCGCAATACGCTGATGACTATGTCCTATATATTTCTGGAAATGATACAAAATTTATGACCACAACACTACAAGAAGCTATCGATCGGTTTTCCAATTTACTGGAAGAATTGGGTCTCGAACTTTCACCTATGAAAAGCAAAGTATGTTTATTTTCTAGAGGGCGGACGTTGCAACAGTCAAATATAACTATTAATAATATTAATTTGGAAATGGTACCTGTAGTTAAATATTTGGGACTCTGGCTGGATTCGTCTTTGAGATGGGGCAAACAAATCAATGAAACGTGCGAGAGAGGTAAGAAATTTTTAAATATTTTTAAAATCTTAGCTGGGTCGGCTTGGGGTGTTCATCCAATACATTTAAGAAGGTTATATATTGCAATTATCCGCAGCAGGTTAGATTACGCAAGCTTTTTAGTTGACAATAGCGCTAAAAATAATATTACAAAATTAGACAAACTCCAAAATCAAGCTATGAGAATAGTTGGCGGTTTTTTGAAGAGTTGCCCAATCCATGTGATGGAATCGGAGTTATGTCTTCCTCCGTTATCTGTTCGTCGAAAATATTTAGCTGCGAAATTTTATTTAAAAGCGAAATCGGTTATTGATGGTGAAACCGTCTTATCCATATCTAAATTAACACAAGCATGTGAACAGACATCATATTGGAGCAATAAGAAAAAACCGTTACTAACTATAGTACATAGTGAGTTATGTAATCAACCGATATATGGTGCTAAAATCCTGGAAATGTTCTCACTGTCGACTTGGGTGACAAACATAGATATTAAATCGCATATCAACTTAAACATTAATGAAATAATAGGGCCTAAGAGATTTTATACTTCTTTAACACTTCGGGAAAAATGTATACAAAGCCTTGCACAACATTATAACGGATTCTATCAGATTTATAGCGATGGGTCTAAAGAAGACAAAGGCACAGGAGCAGCGTTTTACGATCCTCAAGCTGACACAAAAGCCAGTTTCTCGTTGAATTGCAAAGTATCAATAATGGCGGCGGAATTATATGCAATTTCGGAAGGTCTGTCGTATGTGATGTCGTGTAATTATGACAAATGTGTAATACTGTGTGACTCCAAGAGCGCTTTGCAACATCTAGTTCGATGTACCACAGGGAAACGAGGTCTACCAGTGGCTTATTCTATTTTGAATATGTATTGGGTACTGAGAGGTAATGGCAAAATAATTAAACTTCAGTGGATTCCATCGCATGTAGGTCTGATGGGAAACGAACAAGTTGATCAATTAGCAAGAATAGGCATCTATGAAGGCATGTGTGTGAACCAGTTACCCTTTTTTACAGATATATTACCAGATGTTAAAATAAGATGCAAAAGTCTGTGGAAAGAACATTTTAACAAAAGATCTGTAGAGAAGGGTATATGGTACAAGACAATCCAGTCCGAACCACCCAGCATTCCTTGGTTTGCAGAAGTTCCTTTTAGTAGGAAAATACTAGTAACGAGCATGCGTCTTCGTTCCGGGCACATTCCGCTGAATGCATTCGGATATCTTATGAAAGTGGTTGATACCCCAAACTGTCTGATCTGTGGTATCAGAGAGGATATATACCACGCTTTAGTGGAGTGTGCCCGGATCGGGGCAGAACGCAGGGCGTTGGAAGTAAAAGGAGGGTTTAGATTGAGCGAGGTGGGCTTATGTAACTTGATTTTATCGAAGCCTACATCTGATATAGCTGTTGATTTATATTATTTATTTAGCAAATTAATTAAGTTAAGATCTCTTTAATTGTTTTGTTTATATGTAATTGTAAATCTACAAGGCTGACATAATCGTTTAACGATTAAAGCCTATATTATAATAATAAAGATATAAAAAAAAAAAAATCCATTTCCCACCCTCAAGTCATCTGGCAAGCGTACTTTGTGATAATGGCAAAGCCCCTTCTTTAGAGAGACCAATAATTCTGGTAGATCTTCCGGTTCTAGGTGATGCGAAACGTCTGTCTTCTCTTGTAAAGATGATCCCACACAAAAACATAATAATTGGAATGATGACAGGGTATGAAAATGACAAAATCTATTTAGTCCGTAAGTTAGGTAGGTAATGAAAAAACATTAGACGCGTATTCTTTTATTTTGTTGTATAATAAAAAAATACTTAGATAAAACGAATCAAAGTTTAGGAGTGGGGGCTAAAAAGTCATTTTAACGTATAAAATGTACATAGAAATGTCGCGTCACGCGACATTTCAAATCAATATATCATCGAAAGTATTCGTTTCTGTAAGAAAATAAAAAATACGTGTCTAATGATTTAAAATAATCTACCAGACGGACATTAAAATAAAAATTAGGCATCTACCCTATTCTAAACTATCTATTTATATGCCTTGACTTTATGATTCAAGGAGGTAGCATAGCATGCAAATAAATAATGTTGTGGTTTCTTGTTACTAATTATTATGAGAAAGTTTAAAATGCAACACGAAAATACCCAATCAATAAATACTTAAATTATTTAATAGAGCAATAAATCGTATTTAAAGAGTGTCTACGGCGTAGCTCCTTTTGTAAATCAGGCGATACTTTGGGGATCGGGCAATCAATAGTGGGAATTGGGTCAACTTAGAGTCCCATTTAAAACTAATAATTCCGTATAATTTTATTGATAAAGCATCTGAAATGGTATTAGCACGAACCTCGGTTTCACAACGTAAATAATAGAGATCGATCGGGTTTTTTACACTTGGACGATTTTTTTAGATTAACAATTATTATGTCTGCAAGATAAAGTTAACATACTTTGCTAACAGTACAAAGGTTTGTGTAGGTGCGGAATCCAAATAAAAATGTGTTATCATTATCATATCGTTGAGGTAGGTACACGAACACTAGTAGGGGGCGGTGATCAGTCAAGCGAATCGGTCGCCCCTCGAAATAACAATAACTTGGCCGCATGTAGGTACCTATTTGTTATTTTTTAAACAGTTTACCCCATCAGTTACAACTGTGCACACGCTTCAAACATAGTGGTATTACAAGTAAAAAACAAAAATGATTTAGTTTAGCAATAAGTTGCACACGCGTGCAAATAATCCTAGCTGTTATTAAAATTGTATCAGGCGTTTAAAAATGGATTTTTTATAAATAAAATGGCTAAGTTCTATTGTTTGTTTTGAATAAATTAAATAAATTAAGGTTACAGTGTGTATCAATATTGTTAATCGTAGATTCGATTAATTAATCGTCATAAGTTACGAACACGCCTTGATTGCGTTGCTAGGATACCGACGTATTATCAATTTTTCACAAAGTTTTGATCAAATACCCCGACGAATCATGAACATGGAGACGTATTTGATAAAATAGGTGAGTTTATTATATTTACTATGGGTAATATAGGGTAAAAATAGTAAATTTTAATCATAAACATTGGTTTGTTTACATACTTTGTTGTGCAAGGTTAAATTTACTAGAAGTGAATGGCATACGATAGTGGCGAGGTAAGTGACCTATTACATGACCTACATTGAGCTACGAACTTTACTAGAAGGTACTTACCTAGTATTTACCAAAGAGTTACAATGTACTACCTTGCATGTGAACCGCAGTAAAAATTATATTTTATGCTCTGATTTTTTGATGTTCGAACATAAAAAACTATTTTATTGATAAAACATTCATTTTTATCATCCAGGTACAAAGCTTCAAAGCTCAATGATAATTTTACACCTAACGATTGATATTATTTCCTGATTCTTGTTTACTCTTTTGATAACTTACTAGATAAGTGATTATACCTACTACGTCTAGGGAATCGTAGATTGTAAGATAACCAAATGAGTGGTATTAGTATCAAATCAATAGTATGAACCACTTAAATAACTTAGTTATTAGATACTCATTATATAATAAGAATAAATTTTAACGTATTTAAAGTCATCAGGCTTTCTGAAAGTATCTATTTGTATTGAGGCGGACAATCTGACATGGATTTGTTTCTTTCCCATGCAACTTTGACTAATGGTGATAAATCTTTACAATGGACACAACCGAAATGACGAACATAATTAATTATAGTTTAGGTAATTACGTAGCGTATAATGTTAATGTGAGCACCCACTTCTGCATTATGGGAAAAATCGTTTTGTACTAACACCTACCTACTAATCAAAATGGAAAATCATTGTCAGTGCCATCAATACGGAAGTTTCATGAGGGTTGTTGCAATAATTACAAAACCTTTGCAGGTAGGTACTTATTTAGAGCTAAAAGGGGACAGGTTTATTCACCTCGGCAAGGGGTCTGTGAGTAACTGCATTGTGGGAGGTAATAATTAGATGCCTAGTCCGATAGCCACTGTTTCTTGCCGCCCTACGGAAAGCTCGCCCGACTTATTTCTGCAGTACAAACCGCAATTTCGCTGTTACCACACCTCAGAATGTTGTCTTTTTACTTTTTATTACGGCTTCCTTTCTATTTCCTCGAGCTGGTGGACGTTTTATTTTGTGAAAATGAAACAGATAAGTGAATGAGTTAAGCTTTCGTGCAAAATGTCTTTCGAATTTAAGTCGGCACGTCATTTCTATTTAGAAATGAAACAAAGAAAGGTTAAGAAGAAAGTTACGTTTCAGGTCGCTACTATTATAATTTTTATGTCTCATATAAGATGGTTTTGTACTTTGATTTTATCTCAAAATATTTTTATTTAAGGATAGGTATTTTGTTTCTCATCTACATGACGGTGATCAGTTAACCAGAATTCTTTTTCCCAGTTGCCGAGTAGGGAAGGTCTGACTACGCCACGGAGCGCTCGGGCTCCTATCGGCAGGCGACCTCCGAGCACGCTTCCTCATCGGCTGAAGAAGGAGGTATTTATACCTACGTACTTTGTGAATAAAATTATGACACACGCGAGTGTGTGTGTCATAATGTCAGCAAAGTGAGTACTTTGCTTATGTTCAAGCGGTTCTAACATTAATTTACTTCGTAGAAGTCTTTGGACAGTCCCCCGGAGATGGACTCTCCGGGAGGAAGTGTCAGCAGTGACTTGCGACGGCAGAACGAGGAGCTGCGCGCTCGTCTTGCCGGCGAGGCTGCTGATCATAAGCGTAGACTTGAGGCCTATCGTCGAGCGCAGCAAGGTCAAGCTGCGTTAGTGTCTAGGCTTCAGTCCAAGGTAAATATAAGACTAGAGTTTACGTCCTCAGGTGACAATTTTTACTGTAAAATGGAGACCATATAATATTATTTTAATTCAAATGACGTGTATTATTAAACTGAAGATTTTTTCCTCTTTGGCAACCGAGTTTCCAATACTAAAAGTGAAGATTTTATTGCATTTACAGAACGTTTCACAAAACGTCAAGAGCTGTCAATATTTTTTTTGACAGTTGGGGTTGATACTGACAGATATTTATTTACAAAATTACAAATTGAATACTTACCAGCTGATGAAAATACAGAATTCCTAACTGAAAGGAAGCAATTGTAAGATGAAAGTGTTTCATTCAACATTAATATCGCTTGATAAAGGTGCTGCAATACAAGCAGCGATGTTCGGAGCTGGAGAACCAGATGTTGGAGACGACTCCGCGCAGCGAGCCGTCGTCCACCTTCCGCGCTCCAGCAGTGAAGAGCCACTCCGTGTCACTGCCGCCGCCGCCCTCCGCCACCACGTGCGCCTCGGCCGCTGTGGCTGCTGCAGACGCCAGGATCACCGACCTGGAGACCGCGTTGAGGCGTTTGGATGAAGAAAAGCGCAAGTAAGGGCTGGTACATCTCTGTATGGTAGTTTTAAACTTAGAGTAGAAACTAGATTACCTACACTTTTCTAAATGAAACTTTACCTACCAAATAATCTGAATGTTAAGATTGTTAATGTAAACAGTTGAGATCTTCTAAAAAATGCCAACAATATTCTAAGTTTTCTTCTTATATAAATAAAATAGTAATTAGATGGCAAAGTAAGTACCTAATAGGAAAGATTTTAAATGCTGTTACTATTACTATACACTTGGCTGTTTTCCGATTCATCAGGTGTGAGAAACTGGTGCAGCAGAACAACTTGCTGCGTGACCAGCTGGAGGAGTCTCACCATCTGAATGAGGCTCTAACTAATGACCTTCAGAAGTTGACCAACGACTGGGAGGCCCTAAGGGATGAGATGGCCATCAAGGAGGATGAGTGGAAGGATGAGGAACAGGTAAACATTTTATTCTGTAAATGTAAACGTAATAACCTAATATAAATTGGTTCTCGTTTGCAAGATATTAAAGAGATTTGCAAGATATTTGCAAGAGATTTCTTTTTATAATACCTTTCTTTTCATTTTGAAATAAAAAGAATGCTACCCCACACTAGAATTTTGCACATCCATTCCATACCTGGAACAACAATTTGTGGATCACTCAATGAATTGTGCCATATCTGCTATATCAGGATTACAAAAAGTAGTTCCTTAAGGCATTGGCTGCCAATATAAAACTATTGAAGGCAAATCCTCCGCTAATGTCGGTCACCAGTGACTGCCATGGCGTTTAACGTGTTAAATTATCTAAATCACTTTTAACATTACAGGCATTCAACGATTACTACTCCAACGAACATCATCGCCTGCTCAGCCTGTGGCGTGAGGTCGTTTCTGTGAAGCGTCACTTCGCTGAGCTGCAGACCAACACTGAGCGTGACCTGTACCGTGTGAGGAACGAGTTCGATTCCAATGCTAGGGAACTTGTTGGTATGCTCAGTGGATATTCCATCAATGCGTTTGCTGCTCAAAGTATGAAGGTTAGTTTATCATTGAGTTTTATCATTTAAAATACATTTCTATTCTCATAGGATGTATGTTAGTTTTAGTACCTGATGGAAAAATAATACTAAAAACAGGGATTCCAACGAATTGAGAACTACCTTTTGATTTTTTAGGTTGTTAAAATTGATTAAAAGATTTAACTTCATGTAATAATTTTGGTGTTAACTTGTGTGACCTTGATTATATAAAAATATTTTTGCCACAGATGAATGTTAAACATATTTTTCTTTATTTGCAGCCTGACTTCCAGTCATCTCAGCAGAACATCTACCAGAGCCAACAACCAGGTGGTTACCAAGGTTCTCACCAGGCTGGGTACCAGGGGTCTCACCAAGCTGGTCATGCGCCGGGTATGCAAGGGACTCAAGGCCACGCGACCAGTGGAGCGGGTCCGTATACTGTGGAGGGTATGCGCGTGGACTTGCGCGACATGACTGCGCAACGTGACACTGCGCTAGCTGAGTTGCGCGAACGTGATGCCAGGATACAACGCTTGTTGGGAGAACTGCAGGGCTTGGTGAGTTTGTACTAATTGAGTACTTACCAACTAGTTAGTCAAATTCAATACTTTTTTCGAACTGTCAAAAACGACCGTTTACTATGAATTTTGTACGAGATTGTGAATTATGACGTCACATTTTTTCTTTCTTAAAAATTTGCCGGCAAAATACAAAAATTATGGTCATAAAAACAATGAATGAAAGTGTGATCATTATTTAATATTTTATTGTGTTGAACATTGTCGAAATAATTTATTTTTGACTAAGGAAAGTACCCAATTATCGTCTTATGAGAGCGTGTATTCGATCTGCCTTACAAGTCTAATTACTTGATAAAATATCTAAAAACTTTAATTAAGCTATCACTGTATCTATAGCAGCTATATTTAAAAGAGCTTGACCAATGAAGTTTAACTACGATTGTATTTAACTGTTGAATAAACGTAAGTTCTGACTTAAACACTGAATGAAGTTGCGTAGCCATATTTTTAAAGTGAAGAACACTGCTAACTATTCACTACTCCCCACTAAAAACGCGACTGAACTACTACACCTTAAACTAGGCTACTAGGGTTTGTGATCGGAATTTAATGAAAGGAAGGAGATCATTCAGGTTTTAGTAAAATAAGGATACTACGTTACTACCTAATAGTTTGCGTGTTTAATGCCTATCGCTGAATTCCGTTTTAGGTATTATTGGTGGTTTAATAACATCAATTAGGTATTAGAACTTGTGCCAAGTGCAAGCGCTAAACGCTAACCTCGTTAATTCTGGGTCTTTTGTTTACACAATAAATAACTAGATTTTAACGTAGACTACGTCTACGATACCTATTGCTAGAGGTTTTTAAAGGTGACTTTATGAAAATGTGGTTGGTAAATTTTACTTGATATATTCTGCAATTTAAAAGTAAGATGATAATATGTAACCTCACAGAGTTAATACCTATTTTCAAGATGAACTAAAGAAATCGTAGCATAAAACTGGTTACTTGATACTTTCGTGTAGCCTAGGTACTAAAATAAAATCAGTTACATCAAGTGAGGGACGACATCCACAAAGAGATAGACAATAGTTGGATGTAAAAAACTGAAGATCGAGCTCAATAGTGTGTGATATTCAGCATTAGAACCATGATTTTAGTTGGTTATTCGTCGTGTATAATCGAGTAAAATAGATGAATATTATAATCTGATGTAAGTTTCACTCAATTAATGGATATCTGCAGGAGGAGCGCTGTGAGAGCGCGGAGGCGTCGTGCGAGGCGGCGGGCGTGATGCGCGCGGCGCTGGAGGACGTGGCGCGCGCGCTCATACACGACTCCGACGCGGACACGGCGCCCGCGCACGCCGCGCATCTACATCTACACGATAGGTCATTGGGAACATCTATTTTTTCTAAATTTGTCCTTGCAATAGAAACATAGAAACTGAAGGTATGAACAAAATAAAATTAGGTGGATATTTGTTCTGTATCAGCAGCATAACTGCATAGTGCATACACAAACTTATTCTTATTATTCTTAGAAAGCGTTGCCCTTCACTAGATTTTACTCCTGTGTCGTGGGTGCGTTTACAAACATACAAGTTCACATACACAATGACACCCAGACCCGGAACAACTATCTGTGGATCACACAAAAAGTTGCTCCATTCAAGAATCGAACGACTGTTTTACACTAGGCTTTTGGAAGTACAAACTACAGATCGTCGGGAAGTAATATGTAGGTACTTGTTTGCTTTTAAAGGCACCCAAGTTATAGTTCTTTTATCTTACGAGCGCGGGTGAGCCGTAGTTGTAGTGCGTATAGACACGCGCGCTTGTGTGCGTACCTCGCAGCTCACTCATTGGCTGCCGGCCGACACTGGGCGTTCCCGAGCGGACGCAAACAAAGACAATGTGCGAGTACATTTACCTACACAAGTATGGAGCACCCGCACTCGTGAAATAAAATATCTATTAAGGAATATTTATATCATATTCGTAATTTAAAAAAACTCGAAAAAAAAACAATTGTTATTTAGGTTTTCTTTTTTTTCCACGAAATAAAGGGCTTTTTTATTTTTTTATTTCATTTATTCGAAGTTATTTAAATTGTACAATATGTACCTTCAAAGCCCAAAATATGTACTTTTATACCTGTAGCTAAATTCATAAATGACTGCATCATTTGTTTTTGATGCTAAATTATTCTAAATTGTATTACAGATCACCAAAACGCATTACTTCATCCGCCAATGCGACTGCTTTTGCTGAAAGCACAATATCTGCCGTACAAGCCGCGCTACACAAGTACCAGATACAAATACATGAGTTACAAGTAAGTTTCGTCATGCTAATAATAATTTTAAATTTTTAATGAGTTGACCTAATGATAAGCTATCATCACCGCCTGTAGATACTTGCATCGCCAAAAGAGTTATAAGTGCGTTACTGGTCTTTTGGAGAACCCGGATTGGGTCTCAACAAAAACGTCAGTTCACGCCAGTTTTATGTGACCACCGAGACGTGGATTTCCCACGCAAACTTTTATCTTTTTTTATGGCATAAGCCGGTAAACGAGCAGACGGATCACCTGATGGTAAGCAATCGACGTCGCCCATGGACACCTGGAACACCAGAGGCGTTACAAGTGCGTCACCGGCTTTTTGGGGATTAGGAGTTTGAGGATCGTTGGGGATTCAGGGATTGGGGAGATTGGGGAAGGGGAAGGTAATTGGGCCTCCGGTAACCTCACTCACATGACGAAACACAACGCAAGCGTTGTTTCACGTCGGTTTTCTGTGAGGCCGTTGTATCACTCCGGTCGAGCCGGCCCGTTCGTGCCGAAGCATGGCTCTCCCACACTTAAAACTACAAAACTTCATCAATTTTTCTAGATTACTTATTTCACAACAAAAAGATTCAGCAACTGTTTATATAGTTGTTTCATGTCAATAAGACTTGTATTGCGCATTTCAGGTAAAACTGCAGAACACCCGCGAACAACTGACAACTTGTAGGAAGCACGGCGAGGCGGCCGACCTCAATGTCGTCTCTCTAGAGAGCAAGGTCCAGGATCTACAAGGTATATCACCTTACTAGATACACATTTACTGACATAATCAAAAGTATAGTTGGTAGTCCATTTCGTAAGCGTATTACTATGACCGTCGACTAAGGGCAAATTTTTCAATCATCAGTTAATTCTTAACTGTGGAATGAAATCGACAGTTTACCGTTTTTAGTATGGAAGAATTGTCGAATAACATAACATCACGTCTTTTATCCCCGAAGGGGTAGGCAGAGGTGCACATTATGCCACTGTACAATGTAACACCTACTTTTCACTATTTATGTTATGAGTCCCATGTAATAGGGGGTGAGTCTATTCAAAGTTATACCTCAGTTAAAATTAGGTACTTTCCTTAATCAAAAAAAAATATTATTTATTTATATAAAATATTATTTATTTAATTATTTATACAAAAAAAATATTTAGATTGTTAAATTCATTAATTGATTTTATTACTTACCAATGTAATTTTAGTATTTTTCCAGCATTTTTTTAAGAAATAAGTTATGAGTTTGACGTACACAATGTCGTACAAAATTCATAGAAAACTGTCTTATTGAATTTGACTAGTTGGCAAATACCTAATTTCTCTGGCGTTGGATAAATCGGCCCAAAATAACATATTCTTATATCTAACGCACCTATGAAACATAATATGCTTATTATTAAATATTATAAACAGGTAAACTAGATCAAGCCAACGCCGACCTTCATCAACTCTTGCAAGAGAAAGAGTCCATGCAGAAGACGGTGGAGGCGCTCCGGATCGATAAGAATAACCTCGAGAGGAACCGAGTCGAGATCAATGCTATGGTGAGTCTCACAGTGTTGCGACTCGGCCAACGAGGCAGCTATTTTTTAGTTGCACACTAGAATTTTCTCCTGTGTTTTCCATTTTTTTCTGTTTAACCTTATCTACGTTAAACTTAAAAGTTTTAAGCATACAACGGATATTTACGATCACATTTTACATTTAAATTTTAATACACTATTTACAATACCTATCTTCATCTTCCCGCTGAATATTTCAGGTGGAATCTCTAACATCAGACTATGAGAAACTTCAAAAGATCAACTCTCGTCTAGAGAAAGCTATTGAGGCACTGGAGGGTGAGAAGAGGAACTTGAATGATGAGGTGGACCATCTACACCGCGAGGCGTCTAGCAGAGAGGCAGTGTTGAGGTGTGTGTCTTGATTTTTATTGTTTGAAAGTGGTGATGTATTGGATGATATTGGATTTTCACTGAGGTTTTATGTTGGTATCTTACTGTCTGTCTCAATTTAAATAGGAAAGAGTAATAATGTAGATATTGCCAATATTTAAAAATATTTCTTACTTAACAAACAATATTCATGTCAAGTGATTTAAGACTATAAATGTACCTTATTAAAGTATAAATGTACCTTATTATTGCACAGGGCCGAAGAAGAACGCGCTTCGCGCCTACGCTCGGAACTGGTAACCACAAGAGAGGAGCTCAACAAGACAGCGCTGTCGCGGGACTTGCTCGACCAACAGAAGATAGAAGCCGACGCCATACTCTCGCAGATGGAGAAACATAGGAGTCAGTATCTAATTTTATTATATGGTATCTAATACTGTAGTCAAAAGTAACACAGTTATCAATGCAATTTTATGCCATCTTGTCTCGTGCGGGTATAATTTTGCGAAAGTACCCTTCCGCAAAATATTATAGAAATAGCAAGCCTTAGAGGTATTTTTAGTTTCAGCAATAATGACTTTAGCCCTTTGCACTTTTAGTTCCAATATGTACATTCCCAGAATAACAACAATTTCAAATTTCGTTCTTTTGCGTTGCCAATTTGCCATTTTATAGAATTTCATAGTAATCCCATTGTTTTTTGTTTAGGTGACCTAGAGATAGAACTGGAAAGGACTCTTATGGAGAGAAGTGATCTGCAAGACCTCGTGGAGAAACTGGAAGCGGCTGTGAGGAACCTTGAGAGCGACAAGAAGAAGTTGCATGAAGATGTCAAACATGTAAGTTCAGATTTTGTATGACGTCGTGGCCCGGAGGTAGTGTCGTCGTGGCCCGGAGGTAGTGTCGTCGTGGCCCGGAGGTAGTGTCGTCGTGGCCCGGAGGTAGTGTCGTCGTGGCCCGGAGGTAGTGTCGTCGTGGCCCGGAGGTAGTGTCGTCGTGGCCCGGAGGTAGTGTCGTCGTGGCCCGGAGGTAGTGTCGTCGTGGCCCGGAGGTAGTGTCGTCGTGGCCCGGAGGTAGTGTCGTCGTGGCCCGGAGGTAGTGTCGTCGTGGCCCGGAGGTAGTGTCGTCGTGGCCCGGAGGTAGTGTCGTCGTGGCCCGGAGGTAGTGTCGTCGTGGCCCGGAGGTAGTGTCGTCGTGGCCCGGAGGTAGTGTCGTCGTGGCCCGGAGGTAGTGTCGTCGTGGCCCGGAGGTAGTGTCGTCGTGGCCCGGAGGTAGTGTCGTCGTGGCCCGGAGGTAGTGTCGTCGTGGCCCGGAGGTAGTGTCGTCGTGGCCCGGAGGTAGTGTCGTCGTGGCCCGGAGGTAGTGTCGTCGTGGCCCGGAGGTAGTGTCGTCGTGGCCCGGAGGTAGTGTCGTCGTGGCCCGTATCAATACATAGTATAAAACAAAGTCGCTTTCGCTGTATGTCCGTATGTATGCTTAGATCTTTAAAACTACGCAACGGATTTTGATGCGGTTTTTTTTAATAGATAGAGTGATTCTTAAGGAAGGTTTGTATGTATATAATACATGCATATTGCACCCGTGCGAAGCCGGGGCGGGTCGCTAGTTCTAAAATATAACTAGGAAAAAGTCATCATTGACAAAGGTGAAGGAAAAACATCGTGAGGAAACCTGGACTTATAATTTCTAATTATAAGTTTGAAATCGTCAACCCGCATTGAGCAAGCGTGATGATTAATGCTCAAAGCTTCTCCGTGTGAGAAGAGGCCTTGCTCAGCAGTGGGCATTTATATGCTGTTGATGATGATGATGGTAATATGAATGTTCATTTGGTGAGTGTCTTGGATAAAAATAATTTCATTAAAATTACTTCCCATTGTCCATAAGCTGTAATTCATAAAAACGAATCCATTAGAACTTGTCATGGTCTCCATGCTGACAGGCCGGAGCCGCAGAGGACTTTATGGGTTGCCGGGGCTCCGGCTCGAAGTGTAGGAGTAGAAATGGGGTGGAAGTGGTGTTTAGTCAGTAAGAGTCTGACACTCCCTCTAGCCTCACCCGGGCTGGAGAAGTCATTGGATGGTTTTCCACATACGAAAAAATAAAATGCCTGGCAGGCAGGATGGAGATTGCAGTTTAAAATGTACAAGTTTATAAGAGGTTGCTGCTGCCCGGACTACGTATTTAATCTGTCAAATATATAGTTCGGCAACTCAGACTTAGTCACCTGCAGAAACAATAGCGATAGTGAAAAATATGTTGTGCCCTGACAATTAACTAAGTCTTTCTTATTGCCACAATATTTTATTCTTGCCAGTTGGAAGATGAGAAGTCGAACCTATCAAGCCAGTCATCAGAACAGCAAGGAGATCTTAACTCCTTGCGCAAAGAGTTACTGGCTGCTGAACAAACTAGAATGGAGCTTGAGGCTGACAAGGCTTCGCTTTGTGAGAAGATCAAGTTCCTCGAAGGAGAGAGAGATAAAGTGGAATTGGAGTTACGACAGGTTATGAGGTAAGTGGCCAGAGTAGTTATTTTTTAATACAAGAGAACTAGTTGAATTCCTAAAACAGAAAGGAAAGGAGAAAATAATTCACAGTTATAGGAAATGAGTCTTAACTCACTAAATGAAGTTTGTTTTAATATTTACTGCCCAGTACTAGCCCTAGTAAAATTTGACATTGTGTGTTAAGATGACTAATATCCAAACTATAATGAGAGCAACTAGTGTTCTCTGTTTCAGTTTTTTATTGACACATCATAACCTTTCTACGTTTTACCAGTTCAAAAACAAAATAAATATAAATTAAGTTATTCTATTAACTATTTCATTTAGGGAGCGCGGCGAGCTAAGCTCCCAACTAACAGCAATGGTCCGCAAGAAGGACACTTTGAACGAGGAGATTATACGTCTGCAACAACGACTGGAGCAGGCCAATGAGACTATCGGCAGAATTAACAGGGCTCTGGAAGACCACGTCAAAGATGGAGAGGATAAACAGGTGAGGATTTATAGTTGAAATGAAAATATCTTTTTTTTAATACAGGTTATTTTATTTCATACATTCATTGCATTAAGACCAAATAAACCATACATACTGTCGCACATGTAATCTACAAAACAGTGTTGTTACACTTTGATCCTAACACTTGACATTGTCCGAACTCCGATGATGTGACCGACTTGACTGACTGTGCGCTTCTCACGGAGCTTCCTGCCTCGCACAGCAAAACTGTGGAATGATCTGTTGTCGGGCGGTATTTCCGAACCGATACGACCTTCAAACCTTCAAGAAAAGAGCGTACTCCTTTTTAAAAGGCCGGCAACGCGCCTGTGACTCCTCTGGTGTTGCGGTTGTCCATGGGCGGCGCTGATCGCTTACCATCAGGTGATCCGTATGCTCGTTTGCCTCCTATTCCATAAAAAAAACTTGGTTCCTGCTTGCAGAAAAGCTACTAATAGTATAATAGCCACGAATAGAAGCTGGGTGAACGGTCTGGGAACTGTATGACTACGGAATAGCGGTAAAGATGTCACGAGATGAGAATGTATCACTTGAAACTATTGTATCACGAGTTATTTATAAGAATGTTTTAAGTCTGTTCATGCACTGAATAAACAAAGACAAAAAAATTACTTATAAGGAGTCGGGGGTGATACTTCGACGTCTGATTTTTGCATTATACTTGTATTCAGCTTAAACTAATCCCAGCTTCCAGTCTTACTTAGAAACTGATGCGGTGTGTTGTTCTTCAGATCCTCATAGACTCCCTGGAGAAGGACAAGCAGCACCTGCAAGAGCAGTTGGCGGGAGTACGGTCGGAGAAGGACGCGCTGGAGGCCGTGCTGTTCGATACTGCCAACTTGTTGGAGGACACCGACAACAAGAGGAACAAACTCGAGCATGAACTGCAGGAGACGCTGGTGCAGCAGGAGAATTACAAGGGTAAGGAATATTGGAAGCTCTAGCCTTTTTTATATTTGATGGGGCGACATTTGACCACTATCTCGCCTGGTGGTAAGCCATGATGCGGTCTATGATAGAGCACGTCGGCCCATCAGCAACCTATTCACTCGGGCCTTGAAGACACCCTTCAGGAAACACAGACTCTGGCAAAGAATTCCACGCGATAGCAGTACGCACAAGGAACCTTGATTCGAAGCGCTTCGTGCGTGTGGGTGGGACATCTAGCATGAATCGGTGAAGCTTCGCCGATTGTCTTGTGTTAAGAAGATGGAAAGAACTAGGGGCAATCAAGCTATACAATCCCCCGCAAACTCACCAAAATGTACCCGGTAGAAGACCGAAGCTTTAGGTTAGGCCTAACCCTAATGGAGTCCATTATAGGTCTTCTGCATCTATTTCCTTGTCTGCTCCTCATCCAACACAAAATCTTTTAGCTAAATACATTAACCCATTCCCATATTTTAGTATCATATACTTAAACTTTTCTTGATATAAATATAATAAATCAAATATTTCCATTTCCAGGTCAAATCACCCGCCTTACGAAGGACCTAGAGAACAGTGAGCGCAAACTCCGCGACACTCGCAACTCTATGTCGCAGGCGTCGGGGAAGAAGGAGGCCGAGTACCAACAGATCATCACCAACATCAACCGAACTACTACTGAAAACATCACCAAGCTAAAGGAGGAGAAGGTTAGAAATAGATTTGTATGACATAATAATTTACTATTAGGAAAAAAAGAGTGTATTTCCCTAAGATCAGAAAAGGAGGATCCTCCGACCAGGCGAAGTGTTCGTGCCTGACGAACTTTCTGCCCAACAGTTGTTCGCCTCTGTAGTCATCTCTCCGTGCCCAACTGGGGGCACGAACCAGGCCGATGCCTGTTTCTGCAGTGTCCGGTGGCTGTCTGCGACTGCAGGCGAGGGGTCGGAGTAGTCAGCGTCGTTCGGTGGTTTGCACCGCTATGAACCGCGCTGTAGCCGGGCGGGCCTGGCGCGGGGGACCCAACAGTTGTTAGTCGGGATTTTTGTATCCGTGTTAATTCGCATATAAACTTGACATGTGCGAGGTAGGATTTTATGACATCATCCGTTGATTTCTTTTCATCGATGGTCTATGTGCGTGAGCTGTCATTTGACATGTGACATGTGTCGCCACAAACTGACGCCCGAATACCGAAAGGTTACTCAATTTACAGTTGTACTTAAATATCATGCCATCTCTGTCATTTTACAAAGAATTTGTAGTGAGAGAACTATACTTAAGCATCACTTCAAATTGAGTATCGTTTGAGTATTTCGTCAAAAATGTCACTTTGTGTAATCTGCATCGGTTAACTATGTAGGGAATCGACTTGTGGTGGCTTGACTTTAACATAATAGTTTTTGTTGATGTTTGCACAAAAATCAATAGATTGAAGAAAAAGTATCTTTATTAGATTGGTCTTAAATATTTTTTTATAATAACTATCGTGAGACATACTAAATTAACTAAATCATGAGCTGCGCGACGTCGCCGCAACCGCGCACGCTGCTCATGAGAAAGAACCCCTCTGTGGTTCGAAACTAGTAGAGCTTTTCTCAGTTTATCCACGTGAGTAACCTGCGATTTTAGTTAATTTGGTCTTAAATAAATTTATGTTAATAAAAGTTGCAAGAAATGTTATAGATGTAACGTTTATTTTCACTTTTGGCACCAATGACTAATATCAGGAGGAAAAATACTTGTGTAGTAAAATGTATCAATCAACATTTAAATTAATAAATTATTTATCAAATTCTTGCTTCCATTACAGGAACAACTCCGCCAAACACTAGAACACAAGCTAAGCCAGACTATAGCAGCGTTAACAAGTGATAAAGAGTCATGCGAGGCTAGCGCGCGGGAGAGGGAGAAGAAGCTACTGATAGCGAGAGACCAACTTATACTGCAACACGATGAGGCCATGCTGAGAGCTGAGAATGATAAGCAACAGGCGTTGTTGATGGGTGAGAAAAATAATAATACTATTTTTGATTAGTTTCCCTTTTTATTTTAATTTATTAGTTTTAGTGTATTTGTTTAGTTTATTTTCTTATTTCTAAAAGTTACTGATAATTAGTTAAAGTCTTATAATAAAAAAAAATATCTTAATTCTTAACTGTAGAATAAAATTGACATTTGACAGTTTTTAGTATGGAAGAATAATAATTGTCAAATATTGAAAGTTATTCCTAAGTTAAAATTTATCTGGCATTGAAAATATCGGCCATTATATACATAATATTATGCATTGAGGTACTAAGATGGTACGTTTATGTGCAACATTTCTTATTGTTAGAAATTATTTCGGAGATCTAAGTAAAGTATTTAATATTGCACCTGCTTTTTGTAAGTTGTGTTGTTCGTTGCCCTTTCAAAATTGCCTAATCAAGAATTGATTTAAATAAATGCTTTCACGTTGACTTTGGTTATTCGGGACATTTGACATTACATTGTTTGCAATGAAAAACGGGTGTGCTGAGACTACATATCTTTTGATCCAAGAATTATAGTGGTTGGCTTATTGTCATACTTTTGGAACGTGACTAATGCTAGTGTGCTCGATCAGTTCAAGACATGACATGGGCTGGTAATCATGTACATCTTAAGTGGTTACATCGCGCAGCCCTGTTTTGGATTAAAATTTGCTATGCATCCTCCAATCCTAAGATCGGTAGATCCAGAAATTGGGTACTTTACTTAACCAAAAAAAAAAAAATTATTCAACTGTTCAATATAATAAAATATAAAAAAATTATCACACTTTCATTCATTGATTTTATGACCAACTTAATTTTAGTATTTTTCCAGCAAATTTTTAAGAAATAAGTATATTGTTTGACGTTAAAAAATCGTGACATCACAATACACGATCTCGTACAAAATTCATAGAAAACTGTCGTTTTTGACAGTTCGAAAAAAGAAAGCAATTTGACTAGTTGGCGAGTACCCAATTAACGAAGATAAAACCAACATTATTGTTCCCCAGCCCACCAAGAACAGCAAGCCCTACTGGAGCGTCTGGAAGAAGCGAAGCGTGCGTTTGACTGCGAACAGAACAAGTTGGAGCGAGTGCGGCGGGACGCGCATGCGCGGGCCGAGCAGGACAGGACCTACGTCAACCAACTCAAGGACGAGATGGCCGCGCTCAAGACACGGCTGGAGGAAGCTAAGTTAGTATACTTATATTATAATTATGTTTTTTCTATCATTTTATTTCAGTTGGTGGCCGGAGGCCCAGCTCCCTCCCCCTTCCCCAATCTCCCCAATCTCCGAATCCCCAACAATCCTCAAACTCCTAATCCCCAAAAGGCCGGTAACGCACTTGTAACGCTTCTGGTGTTCCAGGTGTCCATGGGCGACGCCGATTGCTTACCATCAGGTGATCCGTCTGCTCGTTTACGGCATATGCCATAAAAAAAAACAGTTGTTTATTCTGTCATATGAAATTATGTAACCTTGCTTTATTGCCAGGTGTAAAAGTTGGTTAAATTAGAATTAAATTCAAGTTCAAATTTTTCATCTCTTACCCTAAGTTCTTGCCGATTCGGAGTGGCGGAGAACCTAACAGGTAACCGGGGCTCCGGCTCGACGTGCAGGAGAAGGAACGGGGTGGTTTTTAGTCAGTAAAAGTCTGACACTCCCTCCCGCCTCACCCAGGCCGGAGCAGTCATTCGATGATTTTCTCCTCTTAAAAAAAACCCTAAGTTCTTGATGTACATAAATGTTGTAGGTACCAACCAACATAGTTTTGACTTTTTCGTCTGTCCAACAAATTGTACAAAGTCAAAGTCAAAGCATTTATTTCAATTAAACCATAGTTTGGTCCTTTTGAAACGTCAACAAATACAAAATAAATAATAGTCTGTCAGTCAGTCCGTCAGTGAACAGTATGAAGAAGATTCTCATTACCCTCTTACTCTATTTTTTTTTATGGTATAACGTATAAGCCGGTAAACGAGCACACGGATCACCTGATGGTAGGCAATCCAAGGCGTTACAAGTGTGTTACCGGCCTTTTGGGGATTAGGAATTTGAGGAATGTTGGGGAATCAGGGATTGGGGAGACTGGGGAAGGGGGAGGGGGATAGTTGGGTCTCCGGTAACTTCCCTCACGGTCAATTGGCCCATTCGTCGCTTAGCGTGGCTCTCCCACATCTTCCATAAAACACATGTTCCTACAACAACTTTATTTTTAAATTTCCAGAGCTACAGCAGAAGATGAGTGCGCTCGTTACGAGAACCGTATCAAAGAACTACACCTTGAGAAGGAGGCCGTCATGCGCGAGTGTACTGAGATCCGAGCACAACTGTCTCTCGCCGAGGACAAGTACGATAATGCGTACGCGCAGCTACAGGATACCATGAGGAAGTTGAAGGAGTGTGAGTTGATATATTGTTTATATAGTTATAAGTATCGTTGTCGCAAGTCACATGATGACTACTTTAAAAAAATAGCTCTTTCTTAATTTGTCACGCTAATTTGAATCTAGGGTAGACTACAATAAGGCCTGATTCGAAGTTTGTCACTCTAAATGTCGTCTTAAGTTTGAATTAATTTCAACAAGTCTTTGAAAAATGTTTTTTTTTGTTTTTTAAAAAACGTTGTCTCACTTTAGAATTTTCTCCTGTGTCGTGGGTGCGTTTACAAACATGCAAGTTCACATGCACAATGACACCCAGACCCGGAACAACAATTTGTGGATCACACAAAGTGTTGTTCCGTGCAGGAATCGAACCTGCGATACGTTGCACGGCAGCCGGTTGCCCAGCCACCGCGCCAACCGTGCAGTCATATATAATTGAAATATTAGATTTTTTAATTCATCCGTATCTAAAAAATCAGTATTATAAAGCAATTGAATTTCGATATATTACCAACTATCATATATTGGGTCTTTTATTTTAGATCCATTACTACTACAGTGATGCCTCGGTTTCAAAAAGCGAACTCTCTAAACCTACTCACAGAGCAAACATTTCTCATTTCCATATGTATCTCGTTTTCCCAGTGGAGAACGAAGCGGACAGTCTCCGCAAGGAGCTGACGGACGTCCGGCGCCAGCTGACCAACTGCACGGCGGAGCGCGACAAGTACAACGCGAGCTGTCGCGAGCTGCGGGAACACGTCAAGCGGGCCGAGCACGAGCGCAGGGACGCCGCGCGGGCCCGGGACGAGGCCTACCATAAGATCGCAGGTCCGGTACTACTACGTACACCAACCTATACATGCCCACTGCTGAGCCAAGCCTCTTCTCACACGGAGATTATCTTTTAACATTAACATTTATCCCCGAAAGGGTAGGCAGGGGTGTACATTATACCACTGTACAATGTAACACCCATTTTTCACTATTTATGTTATGAGTCCCATGTAATAGGGGGTGAGCCTATTGCCATATACCGGGCACAATTCCAGACTCCGTGTTAGGACTGAGAATTTTAAAACCCAGTATTACTTCGCCCGTCCCGGGAATCGAACCCGAGACCCATTGGCAGTCGCATGACCACTCGGCCAGCGAGGCAAATTATCTCTTAGTTTTGACTTGTCCCAAGTCATCACACTATTTATTCTTCTTTTCTGTCAGTCGTCATCCCATCCCAAATTTCTTTCTCTTCATATAACTTTACCTTGTCTTTCAACAAGTTTTTTGGGTGTCCTCTTCGTGTTTAAAAATAGCACTTGTTCAGAATACATGATGAACAATAAATATTAATTGATTGTTAATGTTGATGAGGGACGAATAGATACAACATCGCATACTTACAATGATTTAATGTAGTTTGTGAATGGATAAACGTTTTAAACGTATCTACTTATGCGCCCGAATCACTTTTGTCGGTCGCCATAGCGTTATGGAAAATGATTTTTTATCGGTATAAAGTTGGTTCATAAAATTTAGTTAAATTTAATATCTACAGGTTTGGAAGAAAACCGTACAACTCTCGATCTGGAATTGTCTCGCGTTCAGACAATGTTGAAGGAGAGCGAGACAGGAGGTGAACACGTGACCCGCGAGCTGAAGGCCACTGAGAACCAACTCAAGAGGGAACGAGCTGCCTTGGAACAGGCCAACCATGATATCAAGGAGTTGCAGTCTAGGTATGCAAATAGTAGAAAGATTATGACTGATATTCCATACATATTATGTCTATTGTGGTATATAGAATTGGGTACTTGACTTCATCAAAAATTTCGACTGTTCAATACAATAAAATATTAATAAATTATCACACTGACATTGATTGATTTTATGACCAACTTCATTTTAGTATTTTTGTAGCAAATTTTTAAGAAACTATTATCCTGTTTGACTCTTAAAAAATCGTGACGTCACAATACACAATCTCGTACAAAATTCATAGAAAACTGTCGTTAATGACAGTTCGAAAAAAGTATTGACTATTTGGCAAGTACCTAATTATGCCCGAATACTGAAACGCTACTCTATTTAAAGTCGCTCGTAAGTATAGTTCTGTCGCTACAAATTCTTTGTAAAATGACAGTAACGGCATGATATTTAAGTATCAATTAAAATTGAGTAGCCTTTCAATATTCAGGCGTAAATGTGATAGTTATAATTTGGTGCATCATTAGTTTTATTTATTTTTCTGTGTTTATGCGACATTTTACCATATCGACATAATAATAAATAATAAAAATCGTTTATTTGTAAAAACAGATTACGGAACCTGTAAATTGTGATTGGAGCCTCCTTTTAAGCAAGATATGTCTGTGTTAGGAAACTCGGCTCTTTCACAACAAGACATACATAGTTAATTTCTATAAATACAAATGCAAATACAAATATTGCTTATTCTAATTTAATGCTTATATTATTTCTAATGACATGACTTATACGGATATTATACTAGTAACTAGTATTATAATTGTCGTTAGGCAAATTAAATTAAATTGTCTTTTTGAGTTTACTCACGATACTGTTAGATGAGGTAAGTCAACTAGTTTTAAACTAAGCGTGGCGTTTATAGTCTTGAACAGTATTGTGTGATATAGGACGTGAAGAACGTCGCGCTTCTAACTGACTACTAGATGTTATCTTTCGCATCATTCCTGTGCCTTTAGCCAAACGCCACTTTGGCGCTTGTCTACAGAGAGTGTAAAAAACTAAATGTATGGGAATGACACTGACAAGTGTCAAAATTTATGTCAATACCATATAATTTGGTTTTCTATTCTACATGTAGACAAGCCCTAAATGGCATTTGGCTACAGCTGCTGTTTACTAATGTCTATGTCAGTAGATTGGGCGTTGAGATTTAGTGCAGAATTAAAGATAATTATTTGACATTCGCTTTTTTTTCGTCTCCTCTTATATTCACTTCGTTACGGGAACCAAGACAGTTATTTATGTCCCTGAGACGCGCCGGACTTCAGTATTCCAGTGTTTTCATGGTTGTATCTACTGTAGATCCTGGCTTAAAGGAGTTGCAGCGGTTTTTAGAGATTATGGTGGGCTTGCCCCATAAAAAATAGTTGTGTAGAGCTTCTGTCAAAAATGAAGATCGATCCATCTATCCAGGTTGTTTTTTTTTTCTTTTTTTTTTTCTTTAAAAAAGTTTAAAAAAAGGTTTTGGAATAAATATTTAACTTATGGAATTTTTTTAATTAAATGTCTGGTAACTAGACTGCAGAACGAGTGCGAGGAACGCGAGCGATGCGCGGGCGACGCGGCGGCGGCGCGGCGGCACGGCGCGGAGCTGGAGGCGCTGCTGGCGGCCGCGCGCGCCGACCTGCAGGCCTGCAGGCAGCGCGCCGCCGACCTGGACGACGCGTGCCGCGCCAGGGACCAGGTACACTCTGTTACTGCAATTTTTATTTCATTATACATCTGGCAGAGGCCTGCCTCACTGGACACTAGATACATAGGTACTACTACTACTGCATTTTGTATTTTGTATTTCACCTCAGTTGTTGGTGGCGTGGTAAGTGGTAATATTATGGTAGCGGTTCAATATTATTCTTAGCACTAGTTCAGCTCAAGTTTTCTCGCTAAGCAGTTTATCCACTTCTTACATTTTAGTATTTATAAATAAATCTATATCCTAAATTAACCTTTAAGCTAAATGTAAATAACTTTTGACGTAATGAAAGGTGTTTTGCGTGGTACTTATACAAATTTTAAAATTCAGTATCAAACACTAAGTACATAAAAGACTAAGTAAAAGAGACAACAAGACATTATCATATAACATAACATGACATTATCATATAACATAACATCCGAATTGTTTGTTTTGTTTGTAACATCATGTCCATCCTTACATTGTCTTTATATTTTGTTCTTTCATGTGATTAGGAGCTGGTACTTCGACTGGAAGACTGTCGGTCCAAGGAGCGTCGACTGGAAGAACTGAAACATAATCTCGAGGTGTGCCTCGCTGACGCCACGCAGCAGATACAGGAACTTAAGGTCGGTATCAGTACTGTAGTTAATGAAGTGATATTATCGACATTTTTGGGACTAGGGTCTGCTGTCCTCTAAGATTATAGATAAAGAGAGGATTCTTCGACCAGGCTGGGCGATGACGTCTGGCGGGTTATTCCCCAACAGGTGTACATTGGAAACTTGTGTCATGTCATTATAATACTATCGTGAGACATACTAAATTAAGTAAAAACGCGGGTTACTCAGTGAGCTGCGCGACGTCGCCGCGACCGCGCATGCTGCTCATGAGGAAGAACCCCTCTGTGGTTCGAAACTAGTAGAGCTTTTCTCAGTATATTCACGTGAGTAACCCGCGTTTTTACTTAATTGTGTTATGTCAGTTTGAAATCGAAACAATTTCAGAAGCAAAAGATATGTTTGTAAATCGTGAACCAAGGATTTGTGTTGCAGGCTCGACTAGGCGGCAGTGAGGGTCGCTGCCGTGCGCTGGAGGCGTCCCTGTCGCAGTGCGAGAGCGCGCGGCGCGAGGCGGAGGCCAAGTTGTCGTCCGTCGCGCACGGACTGCGCCGCCTGTGTGGCGTCCAGCCCGACGGGTCCGTGCACGCCGCCTGCAGGAAGCGACTCGCCAGCCCCGCGCGACGGTACAGCCCGCACAGAGGTACTGGCGCCACTACTTATACAGCACATTTCGGACTGCCATGATGGAATATGGCACGCAATTACAACTGCCCACAGATACTGGCAACATCAAGGAAGCCGTATTTGAAGCATTATCGACGTTGGCGGCGTTAAAATGGAGTTCGCGATTTTCTTGAAAATTTAAAAGTCGTGTAGAACAATATTTATATTATAACTTTCATCGACTCGACTAGTTTCAAGTCATGGTTAAGGCATCATATTCATGTCGCAGTAGCGCGACAGTCGCCGCGTCGCGTGTCGCGGAATAATGCTCATGAATATGATAATTACGTGAGTAAATCGAAAAACATAATAATAAAGTCGTGTAGACCTTTTATCTTACTTTTAAAAACTAAGGACGTTACAGGATCACAACCAATCTCTCGAGAGTGCTCGATTCACAAAAAGAAGTTTAATATAAAACAGTACTTTCGATTACATTTTGAACTACATGGACAAAATTAATAATTAAGTGTAATAAAAACAGAATAACCTACTACAGACTAATATTTTGTACATATCCAGGTTTCCTTACAATGTCTTCAATGTCTAAATGTCATTACGTTTGATTATAAACGAAACGCTTGATTCTTTCAGGTCGAGATCACTCAGAGGATCGCAATGAGATCATAGACGTAGATCCGGAGCTCATCAAGAAAGGAATGCGTAACTTGATGCACGATGTGTGCCAGATTGAGAGGGAAAAGGTACTTATAATTAATTTTGTACGTTTACATTTATACCATTTTGTACGTATGTTTATAATTAGTACTAGCTACTTCCGCGCGGTTTCACACGCTCTACTCAGCTCTTATTGGTCGTAGCGTGATGTTTTATAGCCTATAGCCATGCTCGATAAATGCGCTATCCAACACAAAAAGATTTATTCAAATCAGACTTGTAGTTACGGAGATTAGAGCGTTCAAACAAACAAACGAAAAAACAAACTCTTCCGCTTTATATAATAGTATAAGATTAGAATTGTGTTTGTCTTAAAAAAAGTTTGAGCAACCACAATCTTTTCTACATATTTTGAAAACAGAAGTTTTGCCCATAACTCGAACTCACCATAAACAACTGCTAGATGGATTTCGATATAGGAAAGAAAAATCTTTTATTCATACACATGCCTAAAAATATAACACAATTATATGGCATCTGTATCAAAGCTCTGCTGCCTACCTCGTTTGCCGAATGGTCGCAAGTGCGACTGCCGGGCAAGGGGTCTCGGGTTCGATTCCCGGGTTGGGCAAACTATTATTGGGTTTTTAAAAATTCTCAGTAGTAGCACGGAGTCTGGAATTGTGCCCGGTATATGGCAATGGGCTCACCTCCTATTACATGAGACTCATAACATAAATAGTGAAAAGTGGGTGTTATATTATACAGTGACATAATGTGCACCTCTGCCTACCCCTTCGGGGATAAAAGGCGTGATGTTATGTTAAGTATCAAAGCTTCTTGAAATTATTGCACCGAAAACCTATTGAAACGTATTTTAGTTTACGCCCGAATACTGAAAGACTACTCAATTTACAGTTATCCTTAATATAGTGCCGTCTCTGTCATGTCATTCATCAATTTTACTAAGATTTGTAGTGACAGAATAATGCTTAAGCGCGACTTGAAAATGAGTGGCGTTTGAGTATTTAGGCATTAAACTGTCAAACACCAAGCGGTCACCGGTGACCGCAACCTATTGTTCTATAATTGTGTCTATAATAACGGTACTCGACGAGTTAATGAGGTAACTTAAGGTGGCAGGGAGCTGCTGGATGCAGGTCGCTTCCAACCGGCCTATCTGGAAGTCATTGGGGGAGGGCTATGTTCAGCATTAAACGTCCTTTTTTTTAATGGCATAAGCTGGTAAACGTGCAGACGGATCATCTGATGGTAAGCAATCGGCGTCGCCCATGGACACCTGGAATACCAGAGGCGTTACAAGTGCGTTACCGCCCTTTTGGGGATTAGGAATTTGATGATCGTTGGGGATTCAGGGATTGAGGAGATGGGGGAAGGGGAGGGTAATTCGTCCTGTGGCCTTAATGATAATGATGATGGGGTAACTTGTACGTAATTTGTGATTTCAGGACGACTACAAGTCCCAAGTGAGCATGTTGAAGAAGCAGTTGAAGGACGCGAGCGAGCAACAAGGCAAGGGCGACACCAAGCTGCAGGCGGTGTCGGCCAGCCTGCGCGCGCTGCAGGAGGACAAGGCGCGCCTGCAGGCCGCGCACGGACAGAAGGAGGCGCAGATTAACGCACTCGTGAGTCTTATTCTTTTCTATCATAACTTTTTTTTTTTCAGATTTTTGTTGTGACTCCACAGTTGGTGCAGTGACTGGGCAATTGGCCGCCGCGCCATGTGTCGCGGGTTCGATTTCCGCACGGACCAATTCTTTGTGTGATCCACAAATGGTTGTTTCGGGTCTGAGTGTGATGTGTATGTGAACTTGTATGTTTGTAAATGCACTCACGGTACAGGAGAAAATCCTAGTGTAGGGCAGCGTTTTAAAAAGAAATAATAAAATAATGTTATAAGTAATTTTTGATCACAATTAAAAATTTTAACTTGCTTATTATTCTATTTAGAAATATAAAGTAAGTTAAAATGTTTTTATATTTAAGAGATATGGATATATTATGACATTCTTAGATACACTTGTTACAGTTTATTCAGGACTTAAAGGGCTTATTTTTCCATTGCCAGATAAATTTTATCTAAGGAATAACTTTGAGTATTTGACAATTCTTCCATAGTACAAACTGTTAAATGTCAATTTTATTATATAGTTCAGATTGAATAATCAGCCCTAATAAAGTGGTTGGCAATGGTTTTTCGATACTGGAGACAGACATTCCGACATTAGCGGTAGTGGGTGGCTGACAGTATTTTTTATTTCGTATATAAATATGTGCAAGCAAGAGTTTACATAAACCGTCGAAAAGTAACGTCTAGTCTTTCCACGCTAATCGCGGAGAACCTAACGGGTAACCGGGGCTCCGGCTCGACGTGCAGGAGAAAAGAAGAAGAACGGGGTGGTTTTTAGTCAGTAAGAGTCTGACACTAGAGGCGGGAGCAGTCATTCGATGATTTTCTCCCCTTTAAAAAAAGTCTTTCCAGGCTGACTTAATTACACACCCGCATGTCTATTGTATTTATTTCAGAATGAATCTGTACAAAGTAAGACTCTGGAAATTAGCAACTTGCGAGACAAGATCACAAGTCTAGAGGCAGCATTGTCATCAGTTACTGAAGAGAAAGTTCAGAATGAGGTAAAACATAAAAAAAAACTTGCATTTTACTTATATTTACCTTAAATTAAATAATGTTTTTGGATTTTGTTGTGAATGAGTTTTAATAATGACTTCCTCGTTGGCCGAGTGGTCGCAAGTACGACTGCCGGGCAAGGGGTCTCGGGTTCGATTCCCGGGTCGGGTAAAGAATTACTGGGTTTTACAAAATTCTCAGTAGTAGCACGGAGTCTGGAATTGTACCCGGTATATGGCAATTGGCTCACCTCTTATAACATGGCTTATAATATGACTTATAACATAAATAGTGAAAAGTGGGTGTTACATTGTACAGTGGCATAATGTGCACCTCTGCCTACCCCTTCGGGAATAAAAGTTAGTGTTATGTTATGTTATGAGTTTTAATAACACGATATTTCATTGTCAGAACAAAGGAGACAATCTTAGAGTACAGTTGGCGGAACGGGTGCAGGAAGTGGGTCAACTACGTGAAGCGCTTGCAGCGGCTGAGGGTACGTCATAAGTTTTTCTATATTACTAGCTACTTCCGCGCGGTTTCACGCGCTCTGATCAGCTCCTATTGGTCGTAGCGTGATGTTTTATAGCCTATAGCCATCCTCGATAAATGCGCTATCCAACACAAAAATAATTATTGCAATCAGACTTGTAATTATGGAGAATAAAGCGTTCAAACAAACAAACAAAAAACAAAATCTTTATATAATAGTATAACATTATACACCACAACAGACTAAATTTCAGGGTTGAGTATAGCAATATTCAAGTTAAATAAGTCGCATAAAATTGAATATGTCGAAGATAAGTAGGAGAGTTGAGTGTGATGGTTCTTTCCCAGGTCGTGCGTCTCGTCTAGATGTCCGCCGCGCTCAGTTAGAGGGCGACGTACAGAGAGCCGCCGTCGCAGCTAGGGACAGAGATCAAGCTCTGAAGGTATTGTGTAACTTTATTAATTAGTAATTAACTGAATCGATATGTATTCTAAACACAAACGGATCTAATTAGAGATCTATTTTAGCACCACCTAAGACTGAGACGATAACAACCGATCGATTTAAGTAGTCTTAAATCGATCGGTTGTTATCGTCTTGCTGTTTTAATAACTAGGTATATTTATTATTATTTTAATACATATTATTAATAATTATATTATATCAACCGACCCTATTACTAAATGGTTAAAACCTCTTTTGTAAGCATTAAGTTTCTATTACTCTGTACATCGGTACAATAAAACATTCTCTTCCATTTGAGAATAAATGTATACATTCAATAAGCCCTTTTAACCAAACTACTGACCAAAACACTTACTTTTAAACGTTACAGAAACTACAAGAACGATGTGAAGGCTACACTCGCACTATAGCTCAACTAGAAGACCGCTGTACCTCCCTCAAAGGCACCATGGAACAACTGTCCACCGCACTGCAGAAGGCCGCCGCGGCCGAGGCAGAACTTCGTTCAGAACTCGGCAAAGTTACAAGGCAACTTAATGAAGCTAAGAACAATGAACATAATGCTGTTGATAAGCTGAGACAGATACAGAAGAGTGTGTGTGAGTATTGCTTTATTTCATTTGTCATCGTCATCAGTTGTAACTTGACCAGTATTAAACAATGTATGTATGTACCTTTAAATTTAAGATCATAAACTTCACATCTTCAAAATCACATGCAATCTTTTATTTAACAGTCGTCCACTTCGTTAAAATATACAATAAAAGAATATTGTGTATGTACAGCAAAAGTTTAAAATCTATACTCGTATAGACATTATTTTGTGCCTAATAGTTGTGTATGATCTATTGATATATTCCAAAAAAGGCATTTAGATTACGTTCCAAACTTTAACTATCTTTTTTTCTGAAAATTATGATGATTATATCTTCCATTCAGCGAGTTGTGAGAACGAACGGCGTGTATTGACGGAGAAACTAGAGAGTGCTAAGGCGGCGCTCGGAGAGATGAAGAGAATGAATTCCTCACTGGAGGACCAGGTCCACAGACTCACTAACCAACTCGCCAATCTTGAAGTGCAGAGGTAATAACTTTAATCTTCGTTAACTTTATATTCTAAGTTATACTGATTACCTTTGCAGTATGTTTATAACTACGTTCTTAATCAAATTGTGATTCAGTTTATACAAAGTGATAGAAAAAGTGACATTAAGGATCTGTATGATCTATTCCATTTTCGTCACAAATAGTTCAACTTCAATTCACTCTTTTAAGACGTATTGGCTGATTGATGATTTTTTGTTGTTTGTGGGGCTTCTGACTGCTAGGGTAGGGTATAATAATTTATGTAAATAAAAATGAATTTCCATTCGTTAGTCTCGCTAAAACTCGAGAAGGGCTGAACCGATTTGGCTAACTTTGGTCTTGAAATGTTCGTGGAAAGGTTTAAAAACTTTAAAAGGTGAGATAAAAATGTTTAGGCGGTACTAAGTTTACCGGGTTAGTTAGTGGTCAATAATCCTTTTTGTTAATTATGAGATTTGCATGGTAGATATTCGTTGTATTTTTTATATTTAATAAGCTTTTATAACACTATCGAAACACTGTCATTATTACTGTTACATTGTATACCAAATTGTGGGGAATGGTGTGGGTTACATATTTACTAGCTGTTTAATGTAAGACATTTTATGTAAAATTTTAATATGTAACTGTTTTTTGTCCCTTCATAAATACATAAATAAATTTATTAAGATTCTTAGGTAAACATTGATTGTTGGTAGGTTTCATTAGATCATTTTTTCTAACTTACATACATACATAACTTCACCCCTGTCTCCCATGGGGGTAGGCAGAGACTATGGAACGCCAATTACTACGATTCTTACACCTCTTTCACTTCATCAACAGTCATCCATCTTTTCATGCATGCTCGTCGGTTAAGGGTACTTTTCATTTGGCCCTTCTTTAGTAACTTAACATTTTGAGTTACTATAGAAACCTTATTCTCAAAAGGTCCGCCTTCGAGTCCCAACTACGCATGACGACATGGGACGGCAAAGAAAGCAACAGTGACAGTGAGTTAGAGCGAGAATTACACCAACTACAACGCGACCGAGCTGAACTGAAGTCCAAGTGCGAAGTACTGCAGGACACTGTCCGCAAGTTGGAGGCTGAGCGACGCATGGTCAGACCACCGCTCAGGAGCAAGAGCCATGATAGAACTGAGAAGAGCGTCTACTATTCTGATTTGGATTCTGGTAAGTTATTGGATTTATACCTGTATTAAATGACTGCCTCATTGGCCGAGTAGTCGCAAGTGCAAGGGGTCTCGGGTTTGATTCCCGGGTCGGGCAAAGTATTACTATGTTTTTAAAAAAAATCTACACGGAGTCTGGAATTGTGCCCGGTATATCGCAATAGGCTCACCCCCTATCACATGAGACTCATAACATAAATAGTGAAAAGTGGGTGTTACATTGTACAGCGGCATAATGTGCACCTCTGCCTACCCCTTCGAGGATAAAAGGCGTGTTGTTATGTTATGTTAAATGCATACAAGTCTACTTTCCGATGGCGTTCGTGGAGTCGCGCATAGTAAAAATCAGTTTAGCCATTTGTTTTATGAGTCTTATGGTGAAATACTCAAATATCACTCAATTTTATGACGCTCTAAAGTCAATATAATCTTTTTATAAAATTACAGGTAGTACGATATTTAAATACAACTTTAAATGGAGTAGCATTTCGGTATTCGGACGTTAGGTAACTAATTGCTTAAGCTGTGGTCGCAAGTGTTACCGACCCGAGCGTACGGCGCCGAGCGCACCGCGCGCGCCTCGAAGGGCCATCAAACCTCCACGAATGGGACCCAATTAGGGCTGATGCTGATACGGAGCCGCGGAGGACTTAACGGGTTACCGGGGCTCCGGCTCGACATGCAGGAGTAGGAACGGGGTGGTTTTTAGTCAGTAAGAGTCTGACGCTCACTCAGGCGGAAAAAGTCATTCGATGATTTTCCCCCCATAAAAAAATGTGATTAGCAAACAAGAGGTGCAAGGTTTCGATTGTATCAATTCGATTAAGTGCAAGGTGTCGATTGTATTAGTAATATCGGTTCGATCAGTACTAGCATTGAGTCTATGGTTCTACTCTGTGAAGTGTGTATAGAATTTCAAATATAGTAATGATTAAATAACAATTTGAGAACCGTAAAATGCGGTGAATACAATTTGAGGAGTGAGTAGAGACGAAGAAGAAGGGTAAATATACATTGGGAAATTTTTCATAGTATATATTTACCCCTTGATTCCTATTCAGCCCGTTTTACTCGATAAGTAAAATAATACCTGTACGTAAAGTACATGGTAGACAGGTAATCTTGTCGCGGAGAACCTAACGGGTAACCGGGGCTCCGGCTCGACGTGCAGGAGAAGGAACGGGGTGGTTTTTAGTCAGTAAGAGTCTGACACCGAGGCGGGAGCAGTCATTCAATGATTTTCCCCCCTTAAAAAAAGACAGGTAATCTTACTATCTAAACACATAAATTATCATATAAAGCACAATTTGACTTTAATTATGTTTCTCTCAGGTCCAGACTCCACTAAAGACTCGTCGACGCGTGGCTATAAGGACTCGTCCAATATTCCTTGCAAGGATAAGGGCTTCACTACAGACTTGAGCCTCATTGAACTAGAGAACAGGGAGCTCAGGATGAAGATCCGACGCCTGGAGAAGGAACTAGCTGATAAGGTAAGTTGTTTCTTAACCCTAGAGTGGGCGCAATATAAGCATTTGCTGAACGAATTAATCGTTGATAACTTTTTAAACAATTGTCCGATAGTCTTGCATTTTTAATAGTTGCCTCTAGTCTCGTTAGCAATGCGTACCGAATGTGTTGGCGCCGTAAGTGCGTTAGGGATCGTTTGAGAAGATGTTTGTTACCACCAGGTATTGCTGGGCGCCAAAACGGCGGCTCACTGACGTTTCGTTAAGTGACATCCACTTTACAGGTTCTATAGTCATTAAATATAAAGATTGTTTTAGTACAGACACGGTAGCTATGGTTGTATATGATTGTATGCATATTTTTGATCATCAATGAAACTTTTTTGCAACCATTCGAGTTAGTATAATTCTTATATTTATGTATGGTCATTGCTCTTGGTTCACTTGGGATATGTTTTCAATTAAAATTGAATTATATCGACGATTAAATTTTTATTGCATTTAAAAATACACAATCTCGATACCATTATTGATAATTTACTTAATTTTCACGCAATTAACCTGTGATTATGACGTCAGAAATTGCGTATCTCGTACAAAATTAAATTCATAGAAACTTATCTTTATTGACAGTCCAAACGAAGTACTTAAATATTGTAATTGACTACCTGGAATTCCTAGCATTTGAAATGTTTTAAATAAGTAATTGAAAATATCCTATTATCCTACTAATATTATAAACAAAGTTTGTGAGGACGTATGTGTGTGTATGGTCGAAACGGCTGAAGGTATCGAGATGGAATTTGGAACAGGGTTAGATTATGGTCTGGATCAAACATAGGCCACTTTTGTCCCGCGGAAACGCTGAAGTCGCTGGATAGTCATGTATGTCTTTTTATCGTTATTAGGCTTCATTAGACCATTATCTAACTAGTTTTGTTTCTAGGAGGCGGAGCTAACAATGGCTCGTACAAGATACCTGACCGACCTATCGAGCATGTCTCCGTCCCGTCGCAGTGACGTGGAGCACTACCGCCAGGCCGCGCTACAGGCCGAGCGACTGCTGGAGAGCAAGGAGGCTTCCTACCGACAACAGATCATGAGGCTGGAGACACAGGTACCGTTTCTATGTTGTTTTCTGGGATAAATACTAATTTTGGGGTTGCTGCTTCATTATAACTGGCTTCAGTGGTCACCATCAGCACCTATAACGGGATCCTTTTAATCATCAGTTCCGGAACCTTTACCAGTGCATCAGCATGGTAGATGGTGACCTGTCTCTCCCGTTTGTGTGTCTGGGCACGTGAATAAAAGCATTCTTAAGTAATAATAAAGAGATATTTAATTGTGAAAATTTGGAGTTCTACGGGCAAAGATGTAAAACTGGAACTAAAACAAAAAGCTTAACAATGAAAGTTATTCCTTTTTTAGATAAATACTGTGTAATAATTTAAATCATATTTATTATGTTTCTCTTCGTACAGGCGTCTCAGCTCCGCTCTCAGCTGACAGCGGAGATCCGTCGTCGCCAGGCATACATCGCCCGCAGCGGCCGCGCCGCGCGGGACGTGCAGAGACTGCGCTCCGCACTCGGAGACTCGCTGCGGACTGTCTCACAGGTAAATAACTCGTCATGTATCTATGTTTTAAAGAAAATCTAGAATGGCCAAGCAGTCTACTATCATCAGGAACATATGAGGCTACCTAAGTTTTAGAGAGGATTACATGTAGCAGCCCTGCGTGCCGTTCGACTTAATGTCAGCGTTACAAAATAATACTTGACAACACATTTTAACAGGAGTAGGCAGAGTAGGGTAGATGACTAATTTTTATTTTAATGTCCGTCTGGTAGATTATTTAAAAACATTACACACGTTTTTTATTTTTTTACGAAAACGAATAGTTTCGAAGATATTTATTGATTTGAAATGTCACATGACGTCACTTCTATGTATATTTTATACGTAGAAATTACGTTTAAGCCCCCACTCTTAAACTTTGATTCGTTATATCTAAGTATCATTTTATTATACAACAAAATAAAAAATACGTGTCTAATATTTTTTCATTACCTAACTGAAGGACTAATTACATTTTTAATTTTCATACCCTGTCATCATCCCTATTGTGAGGTGTAATATGTCACACTATTTTCATCAGATATTAAGAGTCCCATTATAATAGGGGATGAACCTATTGCCATACATCCTCCTAACTTTGCCAACTAAGGAATATTGAAGTTTTAAAACCGTATGCCTAGGCTGCTAAAATGACGTCAAAACCCTCGTTCAAATTAAACCAGTTACTTGTTATACAATCGGTCAAAATCAGACATTGATAAAGGGTATCTTATCTCTCATATTTCAGACACAACAAATAATTTTGTGAAGTGGGTTATCTTGATAATTAGGTATCATCGGTCGAAATATTTTTCTGATATAACCTATCTGGGTACTTGGGTGGAGTGACAGGTGTTGGCAATTATCGTTCATCAAATATGGGGAACAAATTCTTCATACAACTCTGCTTATCTTTTTTACTCTTATTATTTATTAGGTACTACCGCGTGGTTTCATTCACTCTGCTCGGCGCCTGTTGACCGTAGCGCGATGTTCTGTATTCTATAGCCTTGCTCTATAAATGGGCTATCCGACACAAAAATAATTTTTCACTTCGGACTAGTACTTCCTGAGATTAATGCGTTCAAACAAACAAATATACAAACTCTTCAACTGTAGCCTTAGTACGACTTTGATTTATATTTAATCGTAACAAGTACAAGTCTGATTTGAATAATTCTTTTTGTGTTGGATAGCGCATTTATCGAGGATGGCTATAGACTATAAAACATCACGCTACCAATAGGAGCTGAGCAGAGCGTGTCAAACCGCGCAGAAGTAGCTAGTTACATGTAAAGCTGAAGAGTTCGTTTGTTTGAACGCGCTTATCTCAGAAACTAGTGGCACGATTTGAAAAATTATTTTTGTGTCGGATAGTCCATTTATTTAGGAAGGCTTTAGGTTATAAAACGTCATACTACGATCAATAGGCGACGAGCAAAGCGGGAGAACCCGCGCGGCAGCAGCTAGTTTTTAAAATCAAGACTAGTAGTCCACGTGACCATCTTACGTAGCTATCAAATACCTATACTTACATAATGTTTCCTCATAACTGCTACTATTCCTGTTTATTCATATTTTACATTCATTTCTAATGAAGAGTGTGGTTATGGGTAATCCACAGAGACCCATTTCAAACAAAAACCAGTAAAGTACCTCCATGAGTTGATGATATGTTTATGAAGTAAATTATTATTACATCAGTCCTAAAAAGGCGAAGTTATGTCAATAATATAAAATAAGAATGCTTAATGACCTCACAATAATAGGAAAATAAATAAATATTGGTTTTGGATCTGCGCAGTTTGCTTATAGTAAGTACGTACAATGTAAATCTTCAATTATGGACTTAATTATGTAAATAATAAACAATTCAGTTTGTAGGTATGTTTTAATTCTGTGCTTGTCTGGTAGTATGGAATACGTTGCTTGATAGAATCAATTTATTAGTTTATAGCAGCCCGTCCCGGCTTCGCACGGGGTAGACAATTATTTATTTTTGGAAATTTGGATTGTTGTAGTGACATAACTACAATAATTGAATTAATATGCTACCGCGGAGTTTTTTGTAGACATTACGATGTTCTTCAATGTTGTTGTACATTATTTTGTTCTATCGCTTGTAGTTTCGGCAGCGCATTCGACGAAAGACATTTAAAGACTCATTTTTCTACACCTTCGGTTACATTGTTCAAATTTTACCAAGGATCCCTAATTTTTTTCAAAATGAAATGTAGCATAATTTCAAATTGGAAGAATGTAGCATTGTATTGGTGAAAGAATTTTTTAAATTGGCCCATTTCTTTTTGAGCTTATTCATTACAAACATACAAAAATAGGTTTAATACTATATTAGTATAGAGTTATTCAATAAAGTCTATACTAATATTATACAGCAATAATCTGTGTGAAAAAAATCATATAAAATTTTACACAGCAATACCTTAGTATTTTACCTATAGTTTTTTTCCTCTAGGATTATAATAATATTATATAAATATAATACTCGTTGTTATTTTTAGTAGGTTTACTAACTAATATCTACTACCTACTGGTAGGTACAATTGATCTATAATGAAAATGTATCCTATCTACTACTATTGTGTAGTATTCGTGTCCTAGTTTTTCGTTTAGTTACTAATTAAACGAATAAGTATATACAAGGACACAAAAAGATTACACTCATTATTTAATGAAGTTTTTTTTACAAGAATGTTTAAAATTGTGAGGTACCTTTGCCAGTTCTTTTACTTCTACGGCGACTGAAGCGCTATTGTTTTCACTTTACGGCTATCTTTAGCTATTATTCTTCATTGACATCAAAATTATATATCAGCAGTCCCAATAGGGTAGTTGCCAGGGAATGACAATTAAAAATCTAATTAGTCCGTCAGTTAGATAATGAAAAAATATTAGACACATATTTTTTTATTTTCTCGTATAAAATTACAATACTTAGATTAAACGGAGTTATGGAGATGGATAGGCAACTACCCTATTGTGATAAGTCATTGAGGAAATAACTATACATACATAACCTCACGCCTGTCTCCCATGACGGTAGACAGAGACTATGGAACACTAATTGCTACGATTCTTACATACCTCTTTCTCTTCCGTAACAGTAACTATATGAGCGTATATATGTGCAGGTGCATCATTGGTCTACCAAAAAATAGGTAACAACTGCATTAACGGACTGACTGACTTCAGGTCATCTTCATTTGTTTTGGAATTTGGGCGTGATATGTGAATATATATTTATGCTAATGCCAATATAGCACAGGAAAGAGTATTGTTAGATTGGGACAATTTTTTACAATGATACTATTTTAACTTTTATAAGTTGGGAAGAGCCATGCTTCGGCACGCATGGACCGGCTCGACCGGAGTGAGGTTACCGGAGGCTCAATTACCTCCTTTCCTCCCCAGTTTCCCCAATCCCCGAATCCCCCATAATCCAATAACCCCATAACCCATCCCCCATAACTCAATTTACAAAAGTAATCCCGTCCGTAAGTCCCGCATTTGTAACGCCTCTGGTGTTTCAAGTGTCCATGGGTGACACCGATTGCTTATCATCAGGTGATCCGTCAGCTCGTTTACCGGTCTAAACCATAAAAAATTTGTTTTCCAATACAGATTATTTTTGTTCGGTTTAATTATGTACAAAATTAAGTGACCTAAAATTAGTATGAAGTCACCTACGTTGCAAACTTTGTCAACCTGGTGACTAAGCATGTTATGTTCCAATTATAAGGTCATCTCCTCCTTGCATATTTTAGTACGACATTGACATCAATAGCAGCCAATTGACACGTGTTGTACTTAATTGATATGGCTGTAATATACGTATTACTTTACAAAATATTGAAGTTTGTTTTTTTTAAGGGGCGAAAAATCATCCAATGACTTCTCCCGCCTAGGTGAAGCGGGAGGGAGTGTCAGACTCTTACTGACTAAAAACCACCCCGTTCCTACTCACGCACTTCGAGTCGGAGCCCCGGTAACCCGTTAGGTTCTCCGCAGCTCCGTATCGGCATCAGCCCTGTTGGGCCCCATCCGTGGTGGCTCTTAGAGGTGCGGGCGGAACGCGACACGCCGTACGCTCGGGTATTGGAGTTTGTTTGGAGCAATGGAAACTGCCGAAGTTTTAATATCAAAGAGCTTATGTGGCGCTTTGTAATGTGTATGGTGGGACAAAAGCGTAGGTTGATGTATGAGGTTTGATATGAGACTCATATCTAGGATTTCACCAGACTTAGTTCTAGTAATGAGATGTTACTAATTCAAAACACAGGTCCTTTTTAGTATTTCCTTCTTTGTTACTGCATCGATGGATTTATTATTATAATTCAATGAAAATCGTGTATCTACTTTACGCCCGAATACTGAAAGGCTTACTCAATTTAAAGTTGTGCTTAAATATGGTGCTGTCTGTCATTTTACAAAGAATTTGTAGCGACAGAACTATACGCATGAACAAACCAATCTAAACCTAAACTATATCTTACAAAAAGTTCAAAGTCCAACTGCTAGGTGTTGCTTGGTCCCAAACAAATTTCATTTTAAATTTGAGTAGCGTTTGAGTAGTCGGGTGTTACCTACCTATATTATTGATGGGTCGTAGTAATAGGCTGACCTGAATTAATTGATTTATGCCAATAAAGTCAGCTTATTATGAATAATAAGCTGACTTGTTACTGACTTATTATGAATAATAAGTTGGATGAATCCAACCTAACATACTTCTCACGTTGACGTAAGTGACTTGTTTATAACATCATAATTATTAGAAGCTCCCGATGTTTCAGGGAAACTGGACTCTATGGACTATGCCATGACGTCAATATAATTACGCGTTATTCCAATTAGTTTTACACTATAATAAAAGATTTATTAAAATATGTTCATATAAATTAATTTAATTTAAGAAATTCTATGGTACGGCGAACTGCACGTCACTCTATCCTTTTCTGTCTAATTTCTCTATTAAGTACATCTTTGACTTTACTATATTGACATAAAGTCGAAAATACAATGAATAAATTTGACAGATTGGGGAGGTTAATCTGCAGGCCACTGTAAGTACCTACCTTACATTTGGTGGTATTCATATTCAGTTTTCCTTAATTTGTCAAACTCATATACGTATAACTACCGTATAGGAACCTATTCATTTAGGTAGTTACGTCAATCTATAGGTAATCTATTTTGTTTCTGTAGGCAACAGATTTTTTGAAAGATTTTATTTTCATAGGCGCTTTTTAATGGTCCCACGTAAGGATTTTACGTATCTTGTATAATGGGGTCGTTTATAAACACATCAGATTGGTACATCACAGTCGGACCCGAAAAACAATTTGTGGATGACCCAGAGGTGTTTCGGACGGGAACCAAATTCCGCATGTTGTGTTGCCCAGTCATTCGCCAACCGCACGTCAGTTTCTTTTTTACCATCATAATTTACTACTTACTATTTCTTTCATCTTAGTACCTACCTAAATAGGTAGCTATGATAAATATAGGTAATTTTTGAGGCAGTGGACGTACCTACTAGATAAAAAACGAGTGTTTTTTACCATGACGGGGGAAACGTTCAAAAGGCGCCCATCTTTTTGGAAAGAAAGGCTAGGGTTGTGGGATTAGTACCTCACTAAAACCACCCCGGTAGCCACCCTTAGCTCCTGTAACGGGCACCGGGTTCTCCTAAGAGACTTGCTCCGGAGCCCCCACGGTGCAAGCAACGCCTGTTACAACACACATCTCTATGGAAAGAAACTGGATCTAACATATTTATCCAAATGGAACCGAAATAACCCATAATTTGCTTAAAATGGTTTGCAGTACAAACAAGGAAATAAGTGTTAACTCTAAGTAGGTACCTAACTCTGCATATAGTAATTGTCATTGGACACCACAATCGACGCAACACAACTGAATGCATTATGTATTCGGGTTCTAGTTTCCGGTTCTCCAGCCTGCTTATAAATACGCATTATAGTATTTAAACTGCAATTAGTGATACCTATGTAGGTGGCTGGCGGTTATTGTCAATGTATTCAGTTTAGTGTTTGGAAAACACTGAAATCACAACATCCAGGCTAAGTAGGTACTTAGGAGTGTAGTTTTATGCAACTTTCTTTAGCATTTGATAGTTTTTTTTTCATAGCTTTTTGTTATAAGAATGTAGGTTGTCTAATATAGCAGCAGCCTGTTGAAAATCATACCCTAAATTTGTTCATACAAAAAGAGTCTCTAAACATCGGAATTAAAGTCTATAATATAGTTAGTGGAGAGCGGTCACCGGTGACCGCTTGGGGATATATGCCTTCCCGTAGGATAAGAATTAGTGTCCCATGTGTTATTCCAGCCAAACCATAATGTACTTCTGTTCCAAATTTAATCCCGGTCATTTAAACCGTTTCGACGTGATTGTATAACTAACATACCTACACACAAACAAACATTGTCGCGCCGTGACTGACGCTAATATGCAAGTATATTGATTGGGTATGTGTATTGCAATGCACAGTAATAAGAAATGTCCCTACTACCTACGGTTCCTGTTCTTTTTTATAGGATAAGTCTGTAAATGAGCAAACGGATCACCTGATGGTAAGCAATCGGCACCGCCCATGGACACCCGTAACATCAGAGGTTTTACAAGTGTGTTACAGGTCTTTTGGGGATTAGGTACGATTTGAGGATTTTTGGAGATGCAGTGATAGATGTTGGTAATTGGTCTCCGGTAACCTCACTCATACGAAGAAACACAAGGCAAGCGTTATTTCACTTCGGTTTTCTGTGAGGCCGTGGTATGACTCCGGTCGAGCCGGCCCATTCGTGCCGAAGTATATTCCTACGTTTAAAGCAAAAACTATGTTAGGGAATTGCAGACACTGCGAATAAAAATTCCTGCCTAAAGAATCACCATTAATTGATCCATAAATTAGAATCAAAAGGAGTTAATTGCATTAATTCTTGCAAAGATGATGTCTCATAATGTGTGACACGACGTGTACCAGCGTACCTAGGTACTAAGAAGCAACATTTTTGCGCGATTACGCATAGGTAAGGTCATACCGAGTGAATTAATGCAAGTAATAAGAACATGAACTTACATAAATCGTAACAAATAATGTTAAAAGTATCTATAGGTACCGATCTACCGACTGATATTGTTTCTTATTCTTTTTGAAATACATAATTATTATATTTGTTTGCAGGTACAGTTATAAAAGAATATTCGTATTATGCTGCTTTTCTACGATCTTTTCCTATCTAGATCGGTGTCAGCCAGCACTATTTGGTTGACTTGGCGTAACTTCAATTAGCATAACAATGGGGTTGAAAATATACAGCATTCTAATCCATAATATTTGTTCCCAGGACCCAGCGCTGGACTCGTACACCTTGGAACACGAAGCAAGAAAGTTGGATAGCACGCTCACCCACAGCCTTCCTCCGCTCAACGACAGCTACGACTCGTCCAAATAAACAACGGCTCCGCGACAAGCCGATATTTACCAATAATGAGCTGCCAACGCTCGAGCATTGTGTAAAAAACACACAATAGGAATACAGATGGTGTAATTTATAACCAGCCGTGTAGTTTCAAGTTTCTATTATAGGAAAACTGGCTGCGTTGTGTAAAATTAGCAGATAAGTCGATACAATAGATGACAGCAACGTTATTCCTATACACCGAACTAATTATTATCACCTGTTTTCAGATAACGTGGTGCCTATTTTTAATATCGTTCGAATAATCCTAAATGTAAATTGGGCGTAAACGACAGTACAAATATGGTATGGACTAGCGACAGCTACAAAATTTAACCTTCGACTCAAAAACAGGCCTCATTCATGATCATGATGGACCAGAATGTTGAAAGTGGTTACGAAATCATTAATCAGTAAAAGTATTGCTGAATACCATTGTACTTATCGGTACACTCGTGACGTCATCACTGCCTGTCATATCGGACGCATGTTTACGAATTTTGTTTGTTCGACATGTGAGTTACATTCGTGTTAATTACACCACATGTCGATGTCAGTAGAGAGTTGAATCTATTTGGAATGTTGAATGTTTATGTAGGTGACTCAAACGACCGAATTTTATAGATTCTTCTCGGTAGGGTATAGCACCAAGTATTCACGAATAATTTAAGCGAAGTGTATTTGTCATTTAGCAATGATTTGTTTGATAACACGTATGAGTCAGTGTGTCTTGAACCATGATTCACACTGAGGTCAGTTCAAAGACCGGAAATATGGAGGAAGCTATTTTTTTTTAACTTCAATGACTCAGTAATCGTTTAGTTTAATGACGAGATTATGTGTGATCTGTTTTTCTAGTCAATTCGAATAATTATTTTATAGTATTAAAATCATGGAAGTAAGTATTAGGTATTAAGTGTTTTAAAATATGTAACAACAAGTAGCTATATTTTACACAGAATGTTAAGCATGTTTTAAATAACGAAGTTGGCAGTACCTAATGAAACTAAGCCAAGAAGTGTTTGTAATTTATTTGTGAACTAATTATCCCCATCGGATAATGGATTCTATGCTATTCGTACCCATTTATTTTTGGCATACAATATACCATATTTAATAATACAAACAAATGATTTACCTATTTTATTGTCATTTACCTTTATGTTCCTCATATACCCAGATATAATAAATTAAAACAAAGTTATTTACATCTTTATATCCATTACATCATTGTTTTCCTTTTATGAGCATACGTCATTCGTATAAATTAATACACGTGTTCAAAAAAATATAATTATAATGTGAAGATTTCTTAGTTTGATATATTATCTATTGTGTGATTATGCAAATTTTTATAATAATAAATATAATTAGGTATAACAGTCACCTGTTCTAGTCATTATATTAACTAATTATTTAAGACTTAACGGCAACCATTCCGTCCGACTATGTTCTAATTACAATCTATATGTACCTAATAATAAACGTATCGACACCTAGGTACCACCATATCACGTTTTCCGCCTCAACGACTTATGAACGTTAATTTAAAATAGTCCCGTATTTAACAATATTATTTCAATACGACATGTAGGAATATTGTTGTATCGGAAAGAAATAAGCAATTGTTGAGATCCTCACTAACAATTTCTCAATTGAAACCTTATTGTTGAACAATCAATTATATTTTATTTCAATAAACACTAAAAGTTTATAAAATACGTGCAAGTGTCACTTCACGCTTTATCGCAGAAGAGGCGAGGCAGTTTAGCTATCACTATTTTTATTAACTAAATATGAATAAATGATGCGGATATCGCTTATCAAAGTAATTTTACGAGTATGTATCAAAAAAGCAAATTGTTCTGATAAGTGTATATGCACGTATTGGGTTATTATTATGTTACTATAAAGAGCAGCAACAATGCTCCCCGTTAACATTTGACCCTACTGCAACTAGATAAGCGCTGCAGACAGGCTCGGGGCGCCTTGATAAAAATGGTTCAACACCATTTCATTACACTATCTATTTCGCCGGGTATCGGCGTCACTGTACACTACCTTATTGTATGTAGATACACCCCCTCACGCTTTTTACTTCAAATTACCGACCTACTGTATTTAACATTAAGATATTATTTTGTACGTTACACGCGCCCCCATAGTGAGCTCGATCTATGTATGAGACCTTGTTACACATCATGGGGTGTGTCAATAGAAACTAATGCAATTGTAATTCAATACTTGTTTTGCATTATAGATTAGATTGCTTAGTTATCGAGTTCATAAATAGGTATTAAGTTAGACGTATTGAGTTCATTTCCACTGGACTGTGTCAATTCTTATGTTACTAGAATATCGACATACGACCGCCACGTCACACTGCCATACATAATTTTGTCATGTTTGTATCTACTGTTTAGTTAGTCCCTTTAGAATTAAGTACAGACACGTCTATGTAACTTTTTTACACTCATCAAGTTAATAAAATAGTTGTAGATGGTATATGGTTGTTTCAATTAATTAAATTCCATTAAAATTCCGAGCCAATTGACGTTTATTTGATAGTCGGTGGGGTACCGGCGGCGTGTGGAGCGGCCGCGCGGGCCTGGGATGTGACTCATCACGCCGCGACCTCGATTGACATCACGGGAGCGCCGACCGCGGGGGGGACAAAACATACCCCAAAACGAAAGTATTTAAAATTGGTTTTATTGATGCAAAAAAAAGAAAATTAATAGATTATTGTACATGTCCATTATTGATTGAAAAGATAAAATATACAAGTTCTTAATTTTCACAATATATATAAAAATATAATTCAACTCAGATCAAAGTCATATCCAATATCCTTGTGCAGTAAATCTTACATGTTAACAGAAAAGAGAATGGAGGAAACATCTAATTCCGTAACAATATTTGAACACCTATATAATTATTACGTTTAACAAAGTTCTAGCAGCAAAACATAGGTAGATAATTTACATTTAAATGAGCCAGTAATCATAAAACTTTAATCCATTTACAATAACGATAAATTTCTTATTTCTCAAATTCATAGGTTAGGGGTTATAGTATGATGGCCAGTGGTGTACATTAATAACACAAGGCATAGGGCACCACCAACATTACACTGGAGACTCTAAAGTCGCAGGGTGCAATCACCTAAGGCTCTCTAATATTTGTTCAAAAGTTACCGAGTCCCTAAACGGTTTCACATTATCAACTTTTCACTTGATACATTTGAATTATATAACAAGACAATAATATATTCTGAAAAAATTTAATGTATCCTTAATTCACATATTTAAACATTACATACTGGGTCAGGCCTTTAGGGCACAACACCCATGTCTTTTCAGAACCTGCTTAATTCTCACACAACTGTTCAGAAGTTCCAGGCCCTCCCTTAATCAGTATGATTAGATAATAACTACTAAATGGTAAACTATATCTATATTAGGTCCAGACAGACGGATAAATATATATTTTTTATTTTTATATAACTATAAATGCAGTCGCGTTCACATGTAACCATTTGATGAACAGTAGTCATACTTCCATTTAATGGTGACACTACAACGGGACCTTGAAAGATAATTTCATGGTAAATAAGTAGCTACACTCATTTTCCTGTTCAATTACATTTCAGGGGCTGTCTGCACCTAATATTGTTCATTATTATTAAAACAAAAATATTTTTAGTTGCTTTTCATATATTTGAAAATCATAATTGAGAAACAATGAGAAGTATATACTTGAAGAGCTTTTAGAGTGAAGTAGTGCCATGTTTTAGATAATATCTGGAATGAACATTAATGAAGTCAGTATTGTCACAGGGTTCTAGAACATACTCCTCATAGCCTCTAAATAAATGAAAATGTTTATACTTACATCAAGTAGTTTTAAATTTATAACCATTTACAACTTCTGAACCTAACAGCATCCACACATTACAAATGGAATTTCTAGAGTGAAACACACACAGAATCGTTGAATCTATCCTTGAATATTATAACTATCAAAATATAGATCAGAAGGTTTAGGAGCCACATTGTATGGATAGGTACATGGATATAATCCAACACGCTCTGTGGATTTTCCACCGGTGCTGCAGCACATCATAACAAACTCAACAAATGCACATTCTTGAAATGCTACAGGTAATACCAAGCAATGATGCTTAACACCCGACCTAGATAACTTTGGGAACAGTCGAGAGCCAAATCTGGGTACCAGAAGTCTTTCAAATTATTAAATATTTTATACCTAGACGCTTCGGAGGCTCCAGCGGCATTCTTACAGAATGTGACATCTTGGTTTTTTTACTTTCTCACTGTTGATAGGCGTTCTCCTGTTGATTTGACGAACTAGGTCGAAGAACACATCGTTCACGTGTATTTTGGCTTTCGCCGAGGTCTCCATGAACGAGCAGTTGAAATGGCGTGCGAGATTACTTCCCTGCTCCTTGCCCACCACGCGCTCCGCTTCCAAGTCAGTCTTGTTGCCGACCAACACCATGGGAACGTCGTCTTTGTCCTTCACCCGCAGGATTTGTTCCCGCAGGTCTTGCAAGTCGTTAAATGTCGATTGTGCGGTGATGGAGTAAACTAAGACGAATCCTTGTCCATTTTTCATGTATAAGTCTCTCATGGCTGTAAATTGCTCCGTACCAGCAGTGTCCAGTATCTCTAGCATGCATTGTTGACCGTCAACTTCCACCTGTTTCCGATAACTGTCCTCGATGGTGGGGTCGTATTTCTCGACAAAGATGCCTTGTACGAACTGTACTGTCAGGGCGGACTTTCCCACGCCTCCGCTGCCTAACACGACTATTTTGTATTCACGCATTATTAACTATTTTTTATCACGTGATATTATCAACTTAAATCAAAGATCAAATCGCTAAAAAGCACATTAACTAGTAAGTTATTGCAAAAAAACCTTTAACAAGTCAAACCGCCATGACACCGTTAGGCAGGGCGATGGCTCACTGTGTCGGTATTGCCATAAATAAATTTTAATTATTTATCACAAAGTCTATGAACAAAGTTTAGTTTTTTCCATTGTACGCTAGCCAATATTGCGGAATGTTGTGCTAAGTACCTAGTTATAGTTTAGCAATATTTTTTGTTTGATAGTATTTCTACAACTGAGAGAACTGCATTTCTATGAATCACTCGAGAGACTGTCATATAAACAATAGGTTTGCAGTCTGCACTTATTAGTCCAATAAAAGTGGAAGGATGCATCAAATTATTTAATTCTTTTCAATTAATGTTTTTCAACTGCAGGCAATGTAATTACAGTACAACGGATTTAATATAATTAATTTAAGAATACATGTTGCGTTTTATTCTAGAAATAAAGTGGATAAATTACAGAGAGAGAGAGCTAAGTAAATATGAAATTGTTGATATTTAATAAAAACATATATTTTTCATTAACCAAAGTAAATATTATTTCGGTACTATACATTCTTTAACTATTGTTTTTATAAATCATTTTGATTTGTATTATATTATTGTTGTTACTTTATATTAGTATTTGAATATTTTGTAATTATCTGTGGTAAGCACAAGTGCGCACGGCGAGGTTCTACATTTCACCGAGAGATGGCAATTAAATCAACTATTATCCGAGAAAATAATTTTTACAAATTTTTAATTTATGGCTGACTACACTTTAGTTCAATTAATACATTTATTTATAATCATGAGATTTAACAACATATATATTTAATTACTTTTGACGACTCATAGAATTACTTTAGTTTGCCTAGAATTATATAGATGGCGTTGTTTCCATATAAGTACCTATACATGCCGCTTGCCTTGTCTATACCCTACACCGCTTATGTGTAAGTAGATACATAGGTCCAAATAGCGAACATTGCTTTCTTTGGTTACCTAAGTTTCAATGTTAGTTGCAGCCTTGCATGTGCGATTTCCTACTCGTTTAGACTAAATTCTGGTACTTAGATGCTTTTTTATTTTTTTTATGGGGGAAAATCATCGAATGACTGCTCCCGCCTGGGTGAGGCGGGAGGGAGTGTCAGACTCTTACTGACTAAAAACCACCCCGTTCCTTCTCCTGCATGTCGAGCCGGAGCCCCGGTTACCCGTTAGGTTCTCCGCGACTACTTAGATGCCTTGAACGTTTGTACATCCCTCATACCGAGGCATAAAGGCATAATGAACAGTGGCGTAACTGCATGGTGGCAAGTCGGTAACATGCCACGGGCCCCCAGGGATACATATATAGAGATTTTCACCAGAACTCATGTTTTTTATTGGGAACGGGCGTCCATTCGATGAATTTGCCATGGACCCCGAACGGTCCTAATAGTAATATACACTACTGATTTATGAATCGTTTTAGAAAGTTTTTAATTAGCTGCTTACGAAGTCAATTAAAAACTTTTATTCAAGATGCTTACTCGTGTGCACCAATGAACTCTAATGAACACTAATGCACTGTAGGTAAAGTGTCAATGATCCCTAACCTACCTAAAACTAAAGTAATTGGGTTTAATGACTGCCCTAATAAACTTAGTTTAGCTACTAATAAATTAAAAGCTTGTCCAATTTGGTCTAGTAACATAAATCAAACTTATCCTTCCGCAATCCGTTTATTTCTAACTACGCCAGAAGTTGTCACCATAAACCAAAGAGTGACGTAAAAAAAATTCTAAGTAACTTTATTCATGGGGAGTGGCACATGACTGTCGCAAAAATTTACTCTTTTTTTAATTAAATTGCTGTGTGTGTCCGACCCTATCATTGCCGCCATTTCGGGGATGATCGGGTACGTTCGTGTATCACGCGAGCTGTGAACGTACTAAAACTAAAAACTATTACACGCAGAGTAATTAAAGGGGCATAGGCGTGTGCCTCTGACACGGTTCTCGTTTGTTCCATTAATTTAGATCATTTTCTTTTTAAATTAAATACTTAGGTGGCTAAAGATTTATCATTATAGAAGAATCAAAAAGGTAAGGTGCTTCATACCTGCTAAGTACTCACCTTCTTTTAGTTAATCTTAATAGCACAACAGCGTAGGTCCTGTATTTTTATATACCTCTGTGTCTCTCTATCTTTAAATCATTGAACTTATTTTAGTGGAATTCGGTACGATGATAGTTTGACCTTTTAGTCACTAAAGAACTTTTAACTCGTTTGGTATTGCAGGTATCCACTGGGGGCGCTGCTGATTAAAAAAAATTGTTTATAGATAAATTAAAAACCTGATAGATATTATATCTATATCATAGTTCCTATCATGTTATAGTTATCAGATTGCCTTGATAGGCGATTTATATACAGATAATACCAAGATATACCTAATGAGTGTCGCGGAGAATCTAACGGGTTACCGGGGCTCCGGCTCGATGTGCAGAAGGAGCGGGGTGGTTTTTTGTCAGTAAGAGTCTGACACTCCCTCCCGCCTCACCCAGGCGGAAGTGAGTCATTCGATGATTTTCCCCCCTTAAAAAAAACCTAATG